AACAAAGATTACTTTTTATTTGAAATATAAGCTGTTTCGCCAAAGGATACTTGAAGCAGGTAAGCAGCCATTATATAATTGTGCAAATATTTTCCAACGCATATTAATGCTAATTATTAGAGCGTTTTTATCTAAACTTTTGACTAAACACAAACTAAATGTTTAGTGCCTTATCAGAAACTATGGGATTTAATTTAATTAGCATTACGCAAAACAGTCGAAGGTGTTAGCCAGAATTGTTGTACATTATTTTCTGAGTAAATATCTAAAAGTAGAGTCCAACAAGTTGTATTCACTATAGAAGTAAGAGTTACATTTCAGCTAATAATATTACAAATTATATGCAAACTAAAGCTTGATATGCCAGTAGAGACTACTAAATGATTAACAAAGATCACAAGTATCTCTGTTAATAATTCAAATACTTAAAACAATAAATTACAAGCAATTTATACGACTGCCTGCAGGACACAATAAACGTGCATAGTTTAAAAATAGTCTAAATTTTTATATATGTATACTATAATAACGTGATGAAATTGTTTAGCAACAGCGGACATGCTTATTGTGCCACGTTGCTCTGCAGAACCTAACCTCACTAATTAAATGTGTGCAAAAATAATTTATAAAATAAATACTAAGTCGAAAAAATAGACCAACAACGCATTGATCTTTTTTTGTTTTTGGCTCACGACACTAATAGATAAATCATGTGGAATTAGCATCGCGCTGCAGCAATCCTAGTATTTAGAAATTCCCATGAAATAATTTTCAACTTTTTGTCGTGTGGCAGAAATTAAGAAACAAAATTTTATTAATTATTATTATTTTTTTTTTTTGGATTTTTGTTTGTTGTATTTGTATTTCTTGTATAATCTGTTGTGATTCCAAAGTACGCACCAGGCAGAGCAATAAACCTGCAGAAAAACAAAAGCAAAGTAATTCTTATTTTTTTTTTCATTTTCTGTCATGCGCCAAAACGCTGATCAGCGCACATTTGTCTTATTGGTTAGCGGAGATTTCTCAAAATTTGGACTGGAATTGAAAAAGTTCAAGTGAAATGTTGCCAACAGTTCAATAAAACGATTAAATGAATGTAGGAAACATGTTAATCAAAACAAATATGTAATGCAATTAAATGGTGCAAGCAGCCACACACTCAAGCAGATAGAACTGGAAACCAACGGTCTCCTCCACGCACATGGAAAACCCCCACAGATGTGTGTCTGTCGCATACAACTTGCAATCATCAGTGGATGGACGTGTACTTTGCACCCCAATGGCCACTTAGGCCCAAGCAGCAACCCAACCCAACCAACTCACTCAATCAATTCTTTTAAGATCGGCCTCTGTCTCTCTCTCCACTTGGAAACAACAACTAAGCCATTCCAGCATCACGCGCCGCATGCGTGCTTGATGACGTAGCCCACTAATGGAATGGGAACGGAACCGGGTCGTAGTGGGCCTACTACGAGTGTGCCTCTGCTTTTCGGGGTGACGCGACTGGACGATCGATTTGCTCCACTTCAGCGTATTTAACCTTCTCCTGCAGTCGTGTGGCGTACATATTTATTGCATGTGTGTATGTGTGTGTGTGTGTAATTTTTGTAATAGGCACACATTCTGATTCGCTGTGCTGCGCTGATTGGCAGCTTTTTTTTTCCTACTACATATTTGATTTCGTTTTGATAACTCGGTCACTTGATCGCATCACTTTTGCATACAGCGCAAAAGTCACAAGCAATTACGTCTAATATGTGCCTTATAGCAGTCACGTGTTGCCAATAACGTTAAGTGCCGTAATAGACGTCATTTCTAATGCTCTAATCTGCGCAGTTCCCCCTGGGATTGTGCATAACAGTACATAACAGTGTGACCTATGCTAGCACAAGGACAAAAGTAGAAAGAAAGAAACTAATCTTGAAATGCATATTGCTGCAACCCAGCGGCCTCTCTGTGTCATTACAGCACTCTCACGCCCGCTCGCTTACTATTCTAACTGTAAATACTCTCTCGAATATTAATGCAAGCCAGCGAGCTGCAAGAGAGAAGGGAGGAGTTGGTCTCTAACATACCATCAAATAAAGAAGAGAGACGACATTCTCTCCTTCAACACTATGTACTTGTATGGGTGTTATTCACTCTTTCCTTCCCTCCCACCGTCTTAATTTTTCTTACATTTGATGAAATGTTCATAGTATGCATTGAAAATTAGACTTTGCGCTGATTCAGTTTTGAAAAATATATTTCGATGACGTATGGCGCAACAAAATATATTGAAAATATACTAATAATGCCTCAATATCAGTTGAGATCACCTTCGTTCATTTGTATCAACACTACCTCGGTTTCACTTTCACACTTTTTTTGTGAAAACTATAGTCATTATTTAGTTTTATTGATATGTTCAGAGTTTTATTTTGTATTATTCTTTAAAAATACCAATACTTTTCAAAACAGCATATTATATTGTTTTATAACTCAATTTTTATTTAAGCATTTATTTGACACATAATATTCAAAATTTACATTCACTATAATTTGTGTAATAATCTCTTCTTTGGTTCACTCAGCTTCTTCCGTAACTTCTGATTACATATATTCTGCTGCTTTCTCCGAAAGCTATAAGGTGTTTATTTTGAACAGAGCCTAATGCTATAGTCTTCATATTTTTATACTTTTTTTATATGTTTGTAGTCCGTTTCGTAAGTTGTAAATCATATTATTTTCGTTTTAGCTTAATTTAAAACATCAATTTAAGTTTATGAAATCGTTCAGTTTTTTGTTATGGTCAAATATTTGCTCAAGACAGAAATTTAACTTGGGAGCTATAAATAAAAATTTCAGCACTCTGTAATATTATTTTTTTTATTTATTTATTAACCTTATCTTATGTTTTCATAATATCTGATGTAAGAATGATTGAAATGCATGCAGCGCTTAAGGAGGCCGCACTTGAAATTCCCAATCGATTTAATTCCACTTTAGAAATCAGATATTCAAGCTGCTTTGCACTTATTTGGTAATCAAAAGCATGCACTTCCTCAACAATTTCCAATTCTTATACTATATATGTAGTACGGGTATATAGTACACGCAGCACACGCAGGCAGGCACGTATTTATGTATTCATGAATAACATTAATCAGCAGCATAAACACGATTAAAAGCTTGGTGCAAAGTGATTAAAAGCTGAGCACACGGGGCCATAAATCACATAATGAACGCCTTTAAGTGATGATTTAAAGCAATTTTGATTTCAACACGAAAATATGTGACATACATACAGTCGTATATACATATATAGTATATACATACATACATATAAACTGGTACAAGTGTGTGGAATAGAATATGGCTTATCAGCAACGTGTTCTTGTGAACACACTACTTTTTAATTGACTTGACTCTTAATCACATCGCCAGATCAGCAGATCATCATAGAGCTCTAGAGGCTGATAAGGTTTTTCCAGTAATTAGTATGAATGAAGAGGCACAAAGGAGGCGTGCAATTCAAAAGAATAAAACATCTTTGATAAGTGCAAGAGGGGTGTGAAAATGGTTAAGCCAATACCTCCCATGAACCAAGCAATTCATTGCCGACACTATGACACAAGCTCGAAATATTAAAAGGCAGCCTTATATAATTTTCGCATTTCGAAAAAAAAAGAAAACAGAATCATATAGCCATGCTGTGATTAAGCAGAACCCTTCAAGTAATATTAAGAAATTGTTATTTGGTATCGCAATGTATATTCAATTGATATTTTTTGGTTGAAAATATATTACACGTTTTATAGTTTATATTGTAGCTATTGTTTTTACATCTTATCTAATCATTTACTAATTGTTTTACAACATTATTTTATTATAAACATTTCAGCTTTTATATATTTTTTTTCTTTTTTTCTTGGTCATTACTGAAACCTTTCAGGGTGCTCAAATTTATCAAAAATAACTGCGGTTGTTTCAGCTCTAAAAATATTTTTGTTTTCAAAATTTTAATTGCAGATCTCAAAAAAGAATTTAATTTAATTAATTTTCTCGATGCTTTTTTGTTGCAGCGTACAATAAAAGCAGCCTTGACAGATTTAGTCCTTCATGCAAGAAGGATTATTTCTTAATTTATTTACTTTTTTTTATTTTATAGACAAACAGAGATGTCGATTTGAGAAAAAGACAAAATCAAAACAATACAGAACTTATATTAAATACTAAACTAAATCGTTAATTAGAAACTAATAATTAGGTAGCAAGTTTGCTCAGAAGTAAGAAATAACACAAGCATATGAAATATTCTAGCTATATTTATTTATTAAAAAGCTAGCTTTATGCTTACAAGTTCTGAAGGTTTGTTTTACAAATAATATGTATGTATAACCAAATATCAGATAGTTCAGAATTACGTGCTAATGAGTTGCAAAAATGCAGAAATTTAACCTTTTTTTCGGCCAATATTGTGCGTGCTTAGCCAAAGTTGTTGCTTAGCGCAGACCCATTTAGTTTTCCCTTTTATTTATATAATTCTTATAGTGTTTTTTTTTATCGCTGTTGTGCGCCGTTGGCAGTTGGCAGTTGCCTCGGCTCTTAAGCTGATGCAATGAGTGCGACAATTTGCATTGTCTTTCAATATTCTGCAGACATGTAATGATAGCCGAAGCCGCTGGCGCCCCATTCGACGATGCAGCTGTGGGAAAATATGCATTCGCGCTCAATGCAGCGAGGTTCGTGTGCCGACACTTCGGGTGCGCGTGCTCTCTGTCAATCAACTATTTCGGTTACTTGCGCTGGCACATGCACTCTCTCTGATGGCCTTACGCTCTTGCTCTCTCCCTCTCTCTCTGTGCAATTCGGCGCTGTCGATCAAACATCAACGTCGTGGTTGTCGTCGTCGTCGTCGTCGTCGTCAGCACTTAATAAATTGTTCTACTAAAACGTCAACGGCTTCATTCATTCACAACTCGTTTGCGCTGTCGCACGTCGTCGTCAATAAACACAAAATATCGCTCTCTACGAAACAAAAAAAAGATTCGCCGCTTCGCTTCTATTTATACATGTATTTGTGTGTTCGTGTTCCTGTCTATGTACGTGTGTATTGTGTCCGGGTTCACTTGCCGTGCCGCCCCAAGATCATCATTAACGGAACCAATTCGTAATTGCGAGCTTACAAATTTTTAAGTGTGACCGGTACGTGTGGTCTTTCGATCTATGCCTACGATTAATTGCAATTTAATTTATAATATACAATGAGTAGCACGCCGTACACTGCGTATACGTAATATATTTAGCCGCCACGTTCACCCTTCGGTGTTAAGTTTTTCGTTTTTCGTTTTTAGTTTTTGTTTTCGTCCTAGCATGATGAGCGCCATTTTCGTTTGCAAAATTGATAAATGCTGACTTTTTTCAATGAATTGCAATGATTTGCAATTAAGTTTTGATTAGGCGCTCAATGCACTTTGACGTGCAAGCCAAGTGTAATGAAATGCAAAAAAATGATGCAATTTTTTGCTCGATTTAACACGACTTGCTGGAATGAAACCTTGCACAAAAATGGGGAAAATCAAATTTGAGCGCATCACATTTTGGGGTTTTACGTTATGGGGACATTGAACTGTGAAATTAAAAGTTCAATTCATCGTGGAAGTTCGGCAAAGTCCTTCAAAGAGTCCTGGCTGAAAAGCTCAATCTGTATAAATCTATTATACAATCGTTGCAACATTAAAATGTTAATTTCGCTCAAGTTTTTACACAACATTTAAGTTAAAATACAAAATTAAAGAGAAAATAATGTAGCATACGTATACGTTTAATATTTTTAATATTTAGTTAATAATATTTAATAATATGAATATTTCATCACTAATATTGACTTTTAATTTTTTTCTTGCAGCTTACCCACATTTGGAGCAATCTATTGAGAGATATAACTGGGCGCTATGCACAGCCCATCAAGCAAATAAGTGAACGAAATTAAATTTAAAGCCCATAAAAAAAATTAGGGCTTTCCAAAGTGCTAAGCCAAAGAGACAACACGGCAAAGAACACAAGTGACCCCATTTGCAAATCTATGAATTTTGTAAGCCAAAGAACTACGAACATTGAGGTTTTAATGCTACCAAATAGATAGCAATTCGTGCAGTCAACAATATAATAAAAGCCAACCAACTAGTAGCAGCAAAAAAGTGTAGCTCTAAGCTAAATTAAGTGCCGCAATACAAAAACAAACAAAAAATACATACAACAATTTAAATAAAGAAAGCTCGGTTTCTTTAAAGAAAAAATTCCAATTCAAAAATGGCTCAATATTTTATGACATTCATGCTGCTGCTCTGCTTGGCCCTGGAGAATGATAATATCTATAATCGTCTGCACGCCCGTTCGCATCCCAGTGCCCGCGAGGACTCCGAGGGAGTAGGCGTCCATTTGATGCGCCAGCATCAGCAATATCAGCAACTGCAGCGGGCGCATCATCATGCCTCGAAACTGCAGACGCCTCCACAACAGCAGCACCACACCAAGCATCAGCGCACCCGCCAGCCCAAGCACATGGCGCCCGATCCCAATGAGGAGGAGGATGCAGCTGCCATTCAACTGAGTCGCTACTATGCCCGTCTGCGTCGACATTTGAGGCACCAGCGCGAGCACGAGTTGCAGCAACAACGCAGCTACCATCGTAGCGGCAGCAGCAGGCGTCCCGTCTTTGAGGAACTCAAGTCCGTTCCGCGCCTCTGGCAGCACTTGAGTGATGTCTACTACGACGACGAGCAGGAGGACACAATGAATCAGAGGCTGTCGAGCGCTGAGCAGGACTATTCCGTCATGGTCAACGATGCACCGGAAACGGATACGCAACAGAAATCAGAGGCTTCGGTCGACGAACTAGACGAACTAGCTTATGTCAAAAATCAACTGATGCAAAGCAGTTTCGATGCAGAGCTGCCACCAGCAGAGCCTGAAGCCGCTGAGGTATCTGAGGTATCTGAGGAGCCCAGCCCGCTGCCAATTCTGAATGCCACAATACCTAATAGTATGACAAATAGTACCAATAAGACCACTGGCGGCTGTCCAAAGTGTGAGAGCAATCGCCAGGTCGAGCATATTACGGAGGAGGAATTGACGCGTCTACGCATCGAATTCGTGAAACAACAAATTCTGGAAAAGTTACGCCTCAAGGAGAGTCCCAACGTATCGGCAGTGGAGCTGCCAAAGCCCATTTTCGAGGGCGTTACACTCACACGTGCGGACGAGGGGGTCAAGAGCAAGGATCTGGATGATTATTACGCCAAGACCAACAAGAAGTTTATCTTTCTCAAGCGTGGTAAGTTATTATAAATATCTATATCTATCCTTCGACTAGTTAATTAAATTTTATTTATATTTATTCTACGACTATTTAGTTGCAAGAAATTGGGAACATTTTTTATTTTATTTATATTTATTCTACGACTATTTGGTAATACGATATTTTTATTTTATTTATTTATTTTTATTTTATTCATATTTATTCTACGACTATTTAGTTGTATGATATTGGGTACATTTCTTAATTTCATTATATTTATTCTACGACTATTTAATTGCAAGATATTTTTATTTTATTTATTTATTTTTATTTTATTTTTATTTACCATCTACTACTATTTAGTTGCAAGATATTAGGAAATTTTTATTTTATTTATTTATTTTTATTCTACGAATTTTTAGTTGCAAGAAATTATCAAATTTTGATTATATTTATTTATTTTTAATCTACAAATTTTTAGTTGCAAGATATTCGAATATTTTAAATTGTTTTTTCGATTCTAAGTTTATTTTATTCAAAATAGAACAAATTTAATTGTTATTTATTTATTTATTTTATTTTCTTTTTGTTTAAATGATTCTAAATTTTTTTTAAGATGGTCCCACAGGAAGCTTTTCAACATTATATAAATCTTAAACAAAAATGTCAAGATATATGCAAATTTTTAGGCATTCTTTGTTCAGTACTTGAGACAATACAGTAGGGATTTACTTATCTTAAAAAAATAATAGAATACAGAACCGTTCGAACTAGAACAATCCACATTATACGTTCGTTAGATTAGATATTAAAAAATAAGCTTTAAAAATTAATAAATTAATAAACTTACGTTTCCAATTGTTGACAGAACACCACGAGTGCAATCGCTTGAACGCGCATCCTTCCATGTGCTTCTCCTTCAAGATCGATGATGCCGATGCGGATGGCTTCGATGTAAGCACCGCTGTCCTGTGGCTGTTCAAGAACAAACGGAATGCCACCAAGCAACAAAATGAGACGCTCTCGATGCCGCAGCAAACCATTGTGGTCTCGGAGGTGGAGCAGCAGTTGGACAACAAATATTTGCCATTGGCCAAGACCATAGCCATACAGACGGTGGATGTGCAAGGTAAGCTGATAATAATAAGTTATTATATGAATAATATTTAAGCATGAATGTGTGTGTGCGGGCGTATGTCTACGGCACGTTTAGACCTTTGTTCAGCATTGCGTTTTATTTCGTTTTACTTTTTATTTGCCAACTGACCCCCAACAACCTTAGAAAAGAAATCAAAATCAGTGACAAAGTAGCTCTGCTGTGCTGCGGCTGCTGCCTTCATGTTTATATTTCATATCATGCTCTATATTATATAGGAATTATACTAAATAATATAGCTGACCGATAATTCTTTATGGATGCTGTATGTTTGTGTGAGTGTGTGTGTGTGTGTGTGTGTCGTTGACAACTGTTTGTGTTTTCGAATGAAGAGATCATTGGGCGTATACGTGATAGCACAGGCATACGGGCTATTGTGGGTGAATAACTTGTTTTGTCAAATTTTTTTCGTGGGTGCAAGAGCTGAACTCTGGGCTCAAGGCAGCAGTTGTGAAAATAGCTCTACGTATTGTGGTGGCTGAGTTACGTCGGGCTGTTGTTGATATGAATGGAACCAAGCTGGTGTAAATAACCTACAAATACAGTGCTAAGTGAAGGGCAAAAGAAAGAGGAAGCATAGCTCGAGCCAAAGCCGAGTTACAATAGGCTGCTAAATGGTTAGAGGTATCCTGTTTAAGTAAGAGAACGCCTGTTTTACTAAAGTTTCTAATGTGAATTATTTTTCTTCATTGAATTACAGATGAATGGATGAAAATAGATATTGAGTGGCCCATCAAACGTTGGTTTGGCAATCACGATTTAAGTCACATCGTGCAAATTACCTGCGAGTCCTGCGATATTGAATCCATGGAGGAGATAATATCGGTCGATAAGGACTACAGGCCATTCATAATGATTGATACGCAAAATCGGCGCACGAAATCGCGTCAGAAGCGCAGCATTAACTGTGCCGATGGTGTGACGGAGTGCTGTCGGGAGAAACTGTATATCTCCTTTGCGGACATTGGTTGGAGTAACTGGATACTCCAGCCAGCTGGCTATGATGCCTACTTCTGTCGCGGTTCCTGCAGCTCTGTGGCAAGCGTGACGCAAGCAGCCTCACATCACAGTTCCCTGCTGGTAAGTAGACTAGAATAAAAAATATTATTTCAACGGCTTGACTTAAATATTGCGTTTTCATTAACACAGAAAATTTTATCGGCAAGTGGGACGCGGAAGCCCCTGGAACTAGTTCCCTGCTGTACTGCCAAACAGTATTCCTCCCTCCAGTTGGTTGTGTTGGACTCAAACAATTCGGCAACCCTGAAAACATTGCCAAACATGGTCGTGGAGTCGTGTGGTTGCAGATAAAACTACGCCAGGCTACAACTCTATTATATAGTGCTATTTATAAAAACACACACATGAACACACATGAACACACCTACACACAAACACACACATACATGAGCACATATCGAACAAATTAGGCATAGCAGTAGATAGAGTTCAAATCAGTTCCACATCTTTCGTCTCTCCTTCAATTAATTTAAAAGAAAACAAAAACACAAACACAAACACATTGCATTGCATTGGCATTCACATTAGCGTTATGTATGTATGTAATTGAACTCGTATTTTCGTCTTTATGGTAATTATTAGTTAATAATATTTTGTTTAATATACGCTGCCATTAGTTGTAGTTGCAATTAGGTTCGTTTAGCCTTAGTTTAAGTCGATGTACTTAAGCGCTTGAAGCATTAGCATATGGCAATTAATCGTAGTTAGCCAATAATCACAATACTTACTACTTACCATCTACACGTATAGGAAAGCTAATTTAAATGCATTAAGCTAATTATTTATAAACATAACTGCGTAGTGTTTTTTGTATTAAGACAAGTGATGAGATAAATGAAAACAACAAAAATTCAAATATAAAAACTTTGTGACAAAAATTATATCAAATACTGTCGTTTATTTTTGACAATTGCTCAGATATCTAGACTTATAGAGTCTATAATCAAAGCTGTCGATCAATACATATCCAATGCCATATAATTTAATAATTGTCCTCCTTAGGACAGACCTTAAATAAAGAAAATGATTTTAAAAAAAATTAAATAAAAAATCAATACATTAGAGAACTTCAACTAAAATAAAACTATAAAAATATAAAGCCTATAGAAGTTACCTAAATATCTAATATCTAATTGCGACTATCGTTTATTTTTGACAACTGCTCAGATATCTAGACTTATAGAGTCTATAATGTAGCTGTTATTTGGGCTTCATAGTCGTCGTGCTTTTAAGCAAACAAAGCTGTCATATAATTTAATAATTGTCCTGTTTAGGACAGATCTTAAATAAAGAATAAAGCTTAAATGAAATAAAATAAAAAATCAATACATTAGAGAACTTCAACTAAATAAAACTATAAAAATATAAAGCCTATAGAAACGACCTAAATATCTAATAACGAATTCGACTCGGTTGTGCCAGAGAACTTACGTAAGGGTTAAGACCATTTGGGATTACAGAATTTTGGAGTACCTTTTCCTACACTGCAGTATAAAAATGCAATCGTTTATTTATTTGATAAGCTTAACTAGCGCAAAGGAATGTATAGAGTTTCTTATAAATTCAAAGGCGAGAAATGCGAAGCGACCATGCTGCTTGGGTGTGGCAAGACGAATCCCAAAGTTGAGCAGCTCCAGCAGAGTAATCATAGAGAAGCGTCGCCAGAAGCGGGTATTGCTTTCTTTTCTGTCAAACAAAAATAGAACAAGAAAAGGTGATGATAGGTTCGTTATCAATTTTTAAAGAACGTTAATTTGCTTACATGTTGGCCAAAGGTGAGGCCAAGGCCACGCCCATTAAATTTCCCAAGTCGCGTACTAACATGAAAATGGGACTAGCCTCGTGACGCATATAGGTAGGTTCGGGGCACCATTTAAAGGCCTGCAAGACAAGAATTTTCGAAAAGGAAGTAATTGCAAAAGCCTCTATAGTTACTGGTGCTATTTTAAAGAATTGATGGATTCGGATAATACAATTACTCAGGCAACTATAAGATACAGATGCCAAATAAAATAATGGATACTCCTATGCCAAATAAAATAGTGTATTCTCTAGTCTAGATGGGCCAGTTTGTTGTCTATAACTACTAAGTTTTAAAAGTTTATGCGGACAGACAAATGGAAATATGATCGGACATGGGTGAGCAATAAATACTTTTTTAGAAGTTGAAATATACAAAAATTTTAAGAAAAAAAAATATATATATAAAATATATAATAAATATAAATATATATTTAAAGATATATTTATATATATACAATAATTGAAAGTTGAAATATACAAAAATTTCAACAAAAAAAAAAACCGACTTTCAAAAAAAAAATAATTTCAAACAAATGGAAATGGAAATATGAACGGACACTGGTAAGCATTTCTATTTGTATGTTTATAGTTATTTAAAAAAATAGTTCATAATAATGACAAGTAGAAATAAACAAACAAAAATTTTATAAAAAAAAGGACTTCCAAAAAAAACTATTCCCGAACAAATTAAAATACAATTATACAATTATTTTTAAAGTCGGAGTTGAAATTTTAAAAAAAATATATACAATCGAAATGAGACGCTTCTTCTTACAACTTCCAACTCTAGTATGTCAGGTATGTCTTACCTGTCTGACGGACCAATGCGGATCGACGCCCAAATGCAGCTTGACAAAGTATACGGCAATGGCGACACAGCCGAGAAGGACGATCACGAGCACGGACCAGGCACGCGGACGTGAATATAAATAGTCCGTGTGCTTCTCGAAGCTGTTCATGGCCCGCACTCCAAAATAACTGCCCAGGACACATTGATGCAGGAACTCGGTGGCAAAATACAGACGACTTAGCCAGACACAGCAGACACAACCAGTTATAACGCTATAGGCGATGATGCGCCAGGTGTTGGGCCTCCAGCACTTGAAGCGCTGATGGCAATAGACGAACAGATAGGAGATCAGGATGAGCATGAAGACCGTAAAGGACATGGAGTGGGTGCAGGGCATGCCGCCACTTGTTTCGCAGCTGAGCTCGTGGGCCTGCAAAGCCACCTGGGGCTTGTAGGCCTTCTCATTGGCATAGAGCTCGCGCAGCCACCAAAGCGGGCGCAGCTCTGGATAGATCCTGCAATTTTAATTCACACTAATCGAATTGCAGTTTACAACAAAGTTAGCCAACTCACCACTTTTCGAAGGAATTCAATGCACTAACCAGGCTGACTACAAAAACCAAATGTATGAGCATCTCTTGACGAAAAATGCCAACCACTGGTATGATAAGATTCATCAGATTTCCAGGCTCTATATAAACGCTGAGGAGGCGCCAGAAAGGCTCTGCGCTGCTTAGACTGCAACCAAGTCCAGAAAATAACAAGTGAGAAAAATATTTGCCACCAAATCCATCACAATTGTGACCAAATCTTACCGCTCCTGCACCCATTCGTTTATAAAGAGCTCGGCATTGAGCATATTGCGATAGAAATCTGCAGCCAAACGCACCGCATCCAGCTCCATTTTGTTAAAAACTCGAAATTCGTTTCAAACGACGCTCTGATTAAATATATTGTTTACACTCTTATGACATGTGTACACAAACGGCTACAACCTTCGCAAATATAATCTCCATTGCATCCTGAAACAGCTGTTCGAGCCGCATGCGCAATGGCCGCACACAGTGAGGTGAAAAACTCTTCGCATTTGCTAATATTTTGAGTCGCATTCTACCAATATTTCCTTTTTTCAGTTATTTTTTAAGTAAATTTTAAATAAAATAATACTAATTTGCAGAAATGAAAAAGTTGTGCGGAAAAAAACTTTTCAAAGCAGTTCGTTACTTAATCAATATTTTTATCAATCTGGCGGAATATACTTGAATAGTTATTTCTCATATTGGTTTACATTCTAAATCAGCGCTTTGACAAAATCTTATTATATATACTTACTTTGCAAATAATATCAACCAATTTTTATCTCGGATATCTAATTTTGAAAAAATTGTTTTTAAAATAAAGTTTTCGAAGACTTCTTCATTAAAAACAAGCTACAAATTATTTTCAGACTCACACAATAAAGTTCCAATGCACATAATATAGACTCTTGCATGACATTTCTTAAAATTGAATGGATTTGTTGATTCAACAAGATTTTAATACAAGCAGTAATGAATATTATATTAAATAGTTTAAAGTAAATTTTAAAATAGTCGTTGAAATTACTTTTTATTTACTTTTCAAAAGCAGTTTTCATCTGCACAGCAAATCTGAAGCAATTCTTTCTCTTGTTTCCTTTTCTTTAAGTAGCTGTGTCCACTTTTTTAACATGCACTGTAGATTTGCCGTCAACTTACAGTTTGGCATGCACTGTCACTCTCAAAGCTCAACTTTAATGAACTGTCGAAGCTTTTTTGCATTTGAACTGCTTGGCATAAAAGAAACTGCTTGTTGTTCGTTTTCAATTATATTGTAAATTTTTAATAAATAATAATGCGATCGTTTACTTTTACAAAAACTGATAACAAATCATATTTTCAATAAATTACACATACACATATACACATCCACATAAGTATACATATAGTATATATATAGAGAGATAGAGAGAGGCCGCATCGTTGTTGTATTTGTTGTTGTTACATAATTTTCTATAGCTATTCATGAATTTGTTTGTATAATGCACTAAAACAGGACTTGACTAAATATTTATGAATGAATATCAGTTAGATTAGTTATAAGTACATGCATACGCGTGGTTGGGGGAAAGTTTTAAATTCGCTTAATTACCTAAATGAATGAAATTTGTTGTCAACATTTTCGTTGTCGTTGCAGCAGGCAGATAGATTTCTAAATGGCTCAGAACTTAACCAAAGTTTTCGAAATGATGTATAAAATAAGGCAACTTGCGCGTTTTATTTACTTCATCACAGGCGGACATAACACTTTTTGTGAGTGGCCTCGGCCCACAAGAGAATACGCCTATTTTGGAGACCTGCAATTAAAATCAAAGCGTTGATCAGCTCAGGATTTATGGTAATACGTAAATATATAAGTAAATGGTTGATAGAAGATTGGATTGAAATAACAAGTTATGTAGAATGAAGGGAAATCCCTTTTCTTCAAAAAGAACTATAACTATTAAACTTACATTGTACATTCAAAAAGATTTGCTGACACAAAGAAAATGCAAGAAAGGTTTTGAAAATAAATTTAAATTTTAAAGATTTAAAATCAAAAATCTATTCAATAACAACTACAAGTATACCTTCATTATCCATTTAAAAATAAATATACTGACAAAAAAAGAAGATAGGTTTTTATAATAAATTTAAATTTAAATGCGAAAAACTAGAATTTTTGCTAAGAATAAAGGCTCATATGTATAATAATAACAATAATCCTTTTCTTTCAATAACAACTACATTTTTTAAGCTTATATTATAAATTTAAAAAAAGATTTGCTGACAACAAAAAAAAAAACACAAGAAAGGTTTTTAAAATAAATTTAAATTGAATTATTTTGAGAAAAAAAAGCCTAACATGTGTTACAAAAATCTTTTAAATAAGAACTTTAACTTTTAGGCTTGCATTACGTTTATATTATAAATAGAAAATAGATTTATTGACAAAAACACAGGGTTTTTAAAATAAATTTAAATTCAAATTTGAAGCAAAGTTGAATTATTTTGAGAAAAATAAATGCCTAACATGTGTAACAAAAATGTTTTCAATAGGAATTATAGCTTCTTGGCGTAAATTATCCATTTAAGAAATATTTAATGATGATATTTAATGATGATATTTAATGATGATATTTAATGATCATATTTAATGATGATATTAAATGATGATAAAAAAACGCCAGAAAGGTTTTTTAAATAAATTTAAATTTAATTACGATGCATACTTGAATTTATTTGAGAAAAAATGCCTAACAAAAATCTTTTCAATAACAACTACATCTTTTTGCTTTTTTTTTATCAAAGCCTTAAAAATAGAGAGCTCGTTAGTACTTAAAAGAAATCCGTTTTGAAAGCTAGTCAGCCTATAATGGTAGAATCCAATTGAATAAGTATTTCTTAATAGACAAATAAATCATGTGATCCAGAAAAAGGTTTAAGTTCAATTTATGCTATTTCTACTAAATGGAAAACCTTTTGTGTTTCGAATAGTTGGAGGAGACTGTTTTTATAAAAATGTTTTACTTACTACTATAAATATTAAGTGAACTATGATTTATTATTTTTATCAAATTAATTCGCACTACAAGTATTAGCTTTCTGTCAGTTGTCTAAAGTTGTTGGAAAGTATTAAGGCAGAATGCCTCGCTACTTGTTCTTAAATTTAAAGAACTAATTTAAACACAATTGGGGTTCCGCTGATTACTATTTAGAGCTATGAAGAGAAAGGTAGTTTTTACTTACATAGGAATGCTTCTTCTGCACAAATTTGAGGAAGCTGCTCATATCCGGTCGTCCGAAATGATTGACTGCCTTCAGTCCCGTAAAAATGGAGGTCTTTGACAGACGTTGGAAATGATTTTCGCATATATACTGCAGAATGGGAAACATATATATTATTTAAGGTGGTTCATATTGAAGGAAGAAACGAACAAATTAGACTAACCAGCATTGTTGTGCGCAAATCGAACTTGTGAAAGAATTGCGTTATGAAAATGTGTATCTCCAGGACATTGGTGACATCCTTCTTCTCCACATCGCGCAGCACATCGATGAACCACTCGAAATGCTTGTGCGATGGACATATCCACAAGAAGTATACCTTCTTGCAGGCCACGCCCGAATACCGATTGGTGCTGGTGCCGAACACCAGATCATTGAGTATGGAGGCATAGGGCGTAACACCGATTCCGCCGCCCACCATAACGGCCACCTCGAACTTGTACCAATCCTGATTGCCGCCGCCGAAGGGACCCTCAATTCGTATTTTCGGCTGCTCCTCCGGATTGTAGTTGCAGGGATCGAAATAGTTGCGCAGCTTCCAGGTCCAGGGACCCTGCGCCTTAATGTGGCAGCTCAGACAGTTCTCATGGGGCGCCGAGGTCAGCGTGAAGCTGTGCATCTCATGCGGCCTGAAGGCGGTGCAGGACAAACGCACCCACTGGCCCGACAAATACTTCAGATTCGGCGGCCTATAGAACTTTATTTTGATGACATCGGAGGGCAACAAATCCGTCTCAATCACATCCAGTGCCATATATTTGGTGCGCAGCGACACAATCTTGTCCAGCGTATAAACGATGCCCGGCCCCAGGAAGAACATCCAGAAACGTGGCGGACCCGTCAGACGCGCCAAGCCATGCACCAGGCTCAGCAAATAGAGTCCAATATAGAGGGTGTGCATGTTCCAGAAAAACTTGTACGCCTTCTTCCGGATGGTGGGGTGTGCGAAGACAAAGATAATGCACATTATGATGAAGAGCAGCACTCCAGTCGTGCCCGTAACCGTCTGGAACAGCCAGAACGTAATGTCCGGCTTGTAGTCGGAGGCGAAGTGCACCTCGCGGGTGAGACAGCGCAGATTCTCGTGCGATTGCGTCGACACGTGATAAAAGTTCACGATGTGTCCCACGGTGTGGAGCACGGAGAAGAAGAGCGCGGTGCAGGCGGCAATCTTATGGAATTGGATGTGAGAGTCCAGTGGTATGTACTGCTGAATGGGAAACTCCTTCAGCTTGGTGATGAGGTTTCTGTAAAGCATAAAAAAAAGAAAAACACATTAATAAAAACACTCTGCTAATAGCATTTCAAGTTCTAGTTGCTTTAGTTCGAGCAGACATGCAAATAGTTTATTATAACAAAAATTAATTTTTGTTCGTTTCTTCTATTGCCTCTTAATTGGGTAGAAATGTCAATTACTCATTATTTTTATTTACATTCCACGAAGAACTCTTCTAATGCTTTTTTATCATCCTTTCTTTAGAGAAACTTCAGAGAAATCATTCGTGAAAGCAACGCTGATAAAAAGAAAACATTAGATTAGGTTTAGAACTAGTTCAGCTTCTCCTGCCCAATGGAAAGTCAATCGTTTTTCAATTCGGAAAATAAATAAATCAATTAATATAAACATAGCACTTGCCTGGACATGGTGAGTAGCAGCAAGGAGTAGCAGAATGAGAGGGATGCCGCCGAGCCACGTGTAATGGCTATGCCAACACCCATAATGTGACGCAAATCCGTATGCTCGGCCATGAAGGAGTAATGGATGAAGCGCTCCACAAACAACACAATGGTGACGACGTAGAACAGGAACAGATAGAAGATGTTCTGACGATTCTCCTCCAAGAATGTGATATAAGCATCCCATTTCGCCAGTAGCCAATGTCTGGGCTTATCCTGCATGGGCTCGATGTTAAAGGACGTCATGCGCGCCACATTTGTGGAGGTATCCAGGAAGTTCTGCTTGGCACCCTTGCAGTCCAATCCGATGGCCACAAAGTCGCCCTTGTACTCCTTCATCATCAGCTTGAAATCCTGATAGGTCAAGTGATTCTTGTGCTCCAAGCCCACATCCTGAAACATGCCATCGATTAGCTCGGTGACCTGATCATCGCCCAGACTGGTTGTGCGTGCAATCTCCACGAGGGAGCGCATCATCTCGCTCAGTTCGCCTTTATCGATAACTCCGTTGCGATCGTTGTCGCACATATCGAAGATAATGCGCAACTTGTCATCGGTTTTGCCCCGTGAGAAGAGCACGACGGTTTCGAGGAACTCCTGAAAGCTGATGCGCCCATCCTGATCCTTATCCACAATATTGAACATTTTGCGCACAAACATATCGTTGGGCTTCATGCCCAGCGCGGCGGCAAACTCTGCCTTTGACAAACTCGTGCGCATGACGGTCATAACCTCGCCATCGTTGGAGGCATCGGAGCGACGACGTCGTTCGCCCGGGCGCAGTCCAAAGGTCAGGGCATAGGCCTCCCGAAAGAAGTACTCCAGCCGCTTCTGACGGCGCTCGCGTGTCTCGGCCCGGGCCAGCATTATATCGCGATTCACCTCCATCAGCGTCATCTCCTTCTTGTGCAGCACCAGAAAGTCCTCCAGTTTCTTGACAAACTTGCGACGTGCTCCATAGGATTCGAGTTCCAGCACCAGATCATGATCGCTGGGCACACGCAGCAGTATGTAGGGCTTCTTCTTGATGTGATTGGTGGCCGACTCCTCCACACTAACCACATCGATGTGCTTCAGACTAAATGTGCGCAGTTTCTCGCCCTTCCGATCCACCGTATATATAGCCGCTTCCGGTCCAAACTTGACCGTAACCAATCGCTTGTGATTCGCATGCAGCCATTCACGTGCCAGCATCTTGTCCACGGATCCCTTGTGCTGGGGTGCTCGCAAAGCCTCCTGCCGTATCTTCAAACGCCTCCGCTTGCTGTTCTGCAGCTTGACCACGCAATAGCCCGCTCCGGCACACAAGATGGGCACAAAGCCCAGGAATACGCACACATAGATGAACATGCATTCGGAGCCGGAGAAGTAATCGTAGCCCTCCAGATGATTGCACGGCTCCAATTCCGTGGCATTCAATTGCATGGGCTGCGGGCAAGGATCGCCCGTCTGCCATCTGAACACATCGCGCTGGATCTCATCCACAGCTATGTCCGTGCTATTCACAATAATGTCCCACAGCGTGATCTTCCGTATCTCCGCTATCTCCTCCGGAGTAAAAATGCCATTGCGTTCATTCTCAAACCAAAAGCGATCGGCGTCGCGCAGTCGTCGGAACTGCTCCTTGATGACAATGGTGAAGAGCTCGCCCGGATGCCCATAGGATTCCAACATGCCGCCGACATATACGTCCACATCATCCAGCTGATTGTCGTAGGCCGAGATTAGCATGCTGGGGATACGAAAAGGAATGTTTAATATGCGGGAAGGCCATTTAAAAAGTAACTCATTTTATTATAAAAATAAATCATAATAAAAAATAAATAAATATTTAAAATTACATCTCAAGTATTATGTATGATTCTTTTTTTAACTTGTTAATATTTAGTTTAAATTTAAATTTGTTTTTTTAAAATAATATTTCTTTATTTTGGATTGCTATTTCTTCATCTCCAATTATTCTTCATCTCCAATTCTTCTTCCAATTATTCTTCATCTACAATTCATCTTCATCTTAAATTCTTCTTCATCTCCAATTCTACTTCATCTCCATTTTTACTTCATCTCAAATTCTTCTTCATCTCCAATTCTTCTTCATCTCCAATTATTATTTATCTCCAATTCTTCTTCATCTCCAATTCTACTTCATCTCAAATTCTTCTCTGCTGTTTATTCCCCCATCGAGTCAGATTCGTTATTAGATATTATTGTAATCTCTATAGACTGTTTTATTCTTAAGTTTTAACTATTTTTTTTTTTACATGAACAGCTTTGTTTCTCGATGAAATAAATAATTAAATAAAAGATTAATTCTTTGTACGTTACTTAAATAGAGTTGACTGAATATTTACAACTACAAGTTAGATGAGGAACTGAGCAGCTGCAGGACTAACAACAATAACACTAACAATATTATCTTTTAAATATCTTTTAAATTATCTTTAACTTTAGTTCTCCTCAGTTATAATTATGATTATAAGGCACAGCTATACTCACTCTAACAGCTCTGGCTGCTTTTCGAATAGCTTTGGATTTATTTCTGTCCAGTTCTTTCGTCTTGGCAGGCCATATGCTTCCCGTGCCGCGTTATAATCCGGTAATCCATTGTCGCGTCCTCGCATTATGTTAAGAGCTCCCAAGTCACGTCGCGTGAATTCCATCGGACCGAAGAGCTTGTCACGCACATCGGAACAGAGAACAGGATCCTCACGCTCCGAAATTTGCGAAGCCAAGCCCCTGAGCACCTCCTCTACGGTTGTATCACTAAAAAAGCCCTGCGCGTTGAGTAAAAATAGATAATTAACTTATATTTTAAAGTCAGACTTCCCATTACGTACACTCGAGTCCCACCAAGTAGAGCACAGACGTATGGCTGGATAGCCCATGGGCGTCTCCTTGAAATTGCACTCGCCATCTCGTCTGTAAATGCCCGGCGGTATCATGGTGTGGCCGAATCGAAAGGCTGCTGCCTGAAAGATGTGTCCAATTCCCGGATGTACGTCCTGCTGGTACCCCTCATAGGCTGGCATCTCGGACCCCAGAAAGGCGGGCAAATACTCGTAGACAATGATATTCTGCAGACTTGCTATCACGGTATGACGGGCACGCTGATAAATGTCCTCGTCACTCCAGTCAGGATGCAGGCGCTTGATGCGCTGCGCAAGCGTGTTGTGCCAGCGCAGAAACAAAATGGCGAAGGAGAGCACTGCAGGATTCTGATTGGTGCGGGGATCGCCAAGCACTGAAACAATGGGAGAAATTGAAAAGCATAGCTTGGTAATTGAAATTTTGCTGTAGAAGTGATGGCAGATTAGGGTTTTAGGAAAGCGAAATTTAGAAGAAAACACTATGCATGTTTGTTAATGTATTATTAAAATATTTAAAACTTAACTACTTAACTTCTACAAAAATTAATGCACACTAAGGAGACAGCATATGTCTATTAAAAGATTAGATTTTCCACATCACTAAAAGCGCAAACCTTTTTCTAATTTCATTAATAACCGATTTTTAAAGTATTTAAAAAATTCTGTTTTTAAATTGTAAAACTAGCACATAAATAAATGTAAAATTTAATTTAGATTATTTATAATTTCATATAAAAAGCGATTTTTTAAGTTTCTTAAACCTGTTGTTTTTCAATTTTTAATATATAATTTATATATAAATTTTAGCTAATATATTTAAAATAAATAAATAAATACGAATAGAACTAAGTAACCCAATTTTCTAACTGCTCATATATCTCAGCATAAATTGGTTATACGAAGCTAAACTCAAATAAACAATAAGTATCCAGCGAAAAACCTATTAATACTTATGGTATATCAATCGAATGTTTTAATATACTTAAATAAATTCTACGTGCAGACTCTTTTTCTAATTTTCCACAAGAATTATTTGAATTAAAAAGCAATAGAATTTGCATTAACTTCTACGGGTGTAATGGTTTGAAACTGATTTGAAAATCTGGAATGAAAATAACCACTCAAATTGGAATACCAATTGGAATAAACATTGTTAGGAGAATATAGTAGAAGATTTCTCAATTGTCCTACAAGTTTGTGTAAGCAAGCTTAAATTTTGATAAGAATTGTTAAATAATTTTGGGGGCCTTTCGAGTAAAATAAAATACTTGCAGTCTTAAATTCTGTAAGTGTATTATTATAAGAGAAATAATTTAAAAACTGCCGCTTTTTGGCTGCTAACCGATTCGCAATAAAATAACTAATAAACAAAATAAATTTTAAAAAATACATTAAAAAAAAAAATTTAAAAATAAAATCAAAAATATTTTACAAAAAATAAATGTTCAAAAAATGTTAAAAAATAATTTAAAAAATCAGAAAGTAGAAAAATAAATTTAAAAAAAAAAAATTAAAAATTGAATATTAAAATTAGTCTTAAATTGGCTTCAAATTAGAATAAATAATATTTGATTTAAATAAATATTAGTATTGTTATTTGTTAAAAGAAAGCATAACAATTCAATAGCAAGTAAATAGTCATTGAAAGGAAATTTGGAAAACTTACAGAACAATCGCTCTGGACTCAACATTTTCATGACATTCGGCACCGGGTTGTTGAATAACGGAACACGCATCGTGTTCCGCACCGGCATTTTGCCATCCTTCTCGGTAAGGAGCGTGCCGTTGTGGAAGGAGCGCATGGCATTGAGCCACGCCTCTGAGGTGCTGTAAATGAAACTGCCATCAATCCAAGCAGTCATTTGATTTATCTGCGGAGTAGTTTTTATTGCAATTTTGTACACGTGTAGAACGGGAACCTTGACGTATAACGCCGTATAGAGCCGTATTCACCCTTCACCCACCTGTTCACGTGGAGCATTCGGACTCTGGCCCGTGTCACGATCGTAGGCCGCCCGATGAAATGGTATATACTTGTCGCCGCGACATTCCTTGTCATACATCTCGTCACACTTCTCGATCTCGATGCGATGCATTTCAATGGGACAACCGGACTCGGAGGCCATGACAATCTCGTTGGCGACCACCTGGCCGAAGAAAGCCAGCAGGGCTGTGCGATTGAACTTTGAGCCCAGACCGTCACGACCGCCCATAAACAGGCGACTCAGGCGACGGGTGGAGGGCCGATTCGCCCCGGCCATGGCATACACCCCATCTGAGTAGGAGGGCGGCGCTTTCCGCACCAGATGGCTATCTGTGGGGGAAATGGAAGCGAGCAGTGGGCGGTCAGAGATCATGCAACAATATGCAAATAATCACTTGTTCGATGTATGCTAATTATAATCAAAGGGCTCGGTCCAATATTTGAATTCATTACTGCGTTCAGACTATTGGCTAAAAAATCGTCAAACAGTTGATCACTCACCTACAGAGCCCCAGTCGGGGTGAGCTAAATTGTTGTACCAGCCATCGTAGCGCTGCTTCTCCGTTTGGCTATACATTTTTTCTGCAAAAGAAGAGAACAATTCTTAGTTGAGCTGATGGACAGAATGGCTTTTAGATTGGAATGCAATTCAGATTTTATTTCTAAAATAATTCTTAAAATTAAATAAATTCGTAGTTTAAGTAATGGATAGAATGGCTTTTAGTTTGGATTACAATTAAGTCTTAATTCAGATTTTATTTCGAAAATAATTCTTAAAATTAAATAAATATAGTTTAACTAATGGACAGAATGGCTTTTAGTTCGGTTTACAATTCAATTTTTTTTAAATTTAAAAAAAAAGTATAAAATTCTTAGTTGGATTATAATTTAGTGTTTATTTTAAATTAACAAAGTATAACACTTTTTAGTTAAGACGGAATGGTTTTTAGTTTGCATGTTATTAAAGTATTTATTTTAAATTTACAAAATAGAAAACAATTCTTAGTTCAAATGATGGATAGAATGACATTTGTTTGGATTACAATTCAGATTTTAAATCTTTACATTTAATTCAATTTAAAAAAAAAGAAATCTGATGAAAAGAATGGCTTTTAGTTTGGATTACAATTCAATCTTTATTTCAAAGTTTGAAAAAAAAAGTATAATATTCTTAGATAAGCTGATGGACAGAATGGGTTTTAGTATGGATGTTATTTAAGTATTTATTGTAAATTTACAAAATAGAAAATATTTCTTTGGTGGATGATGGAAAAATGGCTTTTAGTTTGGATTATAATTCAGAATTTATTTCTATTTTTTAAAAACAAATAAATTCTTAGTTCAACTAATGGACAGAATGGCTTTTTTTGTTTATAATTCGGTCTTTATTTCTACTAAAAAAAAAATTTTAAAAAATGCATAGAAGGACTTTTAGTTTGAATTATAATTTTTGTTTATAATTAAACATTTTAAATTCTTACTTCAACTTTTAGACAGAAAAGCTTTAGTTTGGATTATATTTCAGTCTTAATTTTAAATTAACAAAAAAGAACAATTCTTAGTTCAACTGATTGACAAAATGGCTTTTAGTTTGAATTATAATTCAATCTTTATTTGAGACAGAATGTCTTTTTACCATCAACATAAGTTTGAAAAAAATATATATAAAAAAATATATAAATATATAAAAATTTATATAAAAAATATAAAATATTATAAAATAAAATAGTATATTTTATTAGTTCAAAAATACTTTGATTTTGAGATCAGTCCTCAGAAAAAAATTAAGAATTCCAGTTGCAAAATAACTGTGTTTTCCAAATTAGTTTTTAATATTCATTTCAATTTATTTGATTTATTTCCAAGAGATTGTGTAGGCTATGCCTAATAAATCTTTAGAGGCACATTTTCTTGAGTCACATTTAGAAAAACTTGTACAGTTATTCGGAGCGTTCAAGAGAAATTTAGTTTTTTCATCAAATTGTTACAAATTCGAATAAAGCTCGCATCGCGATTTAAATTAAATCCTTTAGTTATCGCGCAAGCACAATGAACGAGTCCAGTGAGCAACCGAACGTCTTATCGCTGAATGATGTCTGCCTCGAGGGGATCATGAAGAATCTGGGAATAAAGAATCAACTGAAGTTGGCGCGCACCTGTAGGCGTTTTCGTATTGTCTTTCAAAACTATGTGGGTCCCTTCTGTGAGCTCATGAACATGGAATTCACGACTGCTTTAACCGAGATGGAGCTGAAGAGCCTTCTGGAACTGGTCGGTGATTATGTGCAGAGCTTAGCGATTCCAATTACACCCCTATACAAGGTAGAGGGGTATATGCGGCTGTTGAGCAAGAATTGTCCAAATTTGCGGCGACTGCAGCTGCTGCTGAAAATGTCCCTCTTGGAGGATAGTGTGGATCCTTCGAAGAGGGATACGTTGAGCAATCGTGAGCGCTTTGTCGCTTATGATGACTTGGAGGAGTTGACCTCAATGCTCCGGGACTTGCCCCGCCTGAGCGCTAGGTTAGCCGACTTTAAGACTTTGTTATCCCTGGAGCTCTACACCTATGTCGGTATCAGCAAGTCCTTTGTGCTGAACTGCTGCCAAGCTATGCGCAATTTGCGTTATCTGAACCTACAGCGCCATCCCGATGATCTCAACCAGAAGGATTTCAGAAGCATTATGCGCATTTGTCCATTACTGGAGCGTTTCGGCTTTGCCGTTCGCTCAGAGTTCCAGGAATGCGAATGCATATGTGAGCTGTCAGAGCTCCAGCATGTCCTCATCTGGCATCACAAGCCGTTGCGTGCCGAACTTCTAGATGCACTCAAGAAGAAGTCAACTAAACCCATTCAAAGCCTCATCCTAATAGGCCCCTTGATTCCGGAGGAGCAAATACAAGATATCTGTGCCATAAGCACCCTGCGTGAATTGCAGCTATTCTGCCAGGCATCGGACATAGATACGTTGCTAAAACTGAAGGAGCTTCAGATTCTGCATATAACCATTCGAGCTAAAAAGGAGCAGTTGAAGCCGCTTGTGTTCGGTTTCCCAAAGCTTTTTCTCCTCAATATATGGCTCAGTGAATGGACCATGGAGCATTATGTCCGAGATTTGTATGTCATAGACGCTAGACCTCTCAAAGAGCATCATTCATTGCACCTCTTTATAGAGGGCTATAAGCCGGACTGGAAGATATTGGAGCGGCCAGACGATGCCGCAAACAAGAAAGTAATTAAAATTCTGTCAAAGCCAAACAACTGGGCCGTGCTACTCAACACTGAAATAATTATTAAAGACAACTAAATGCAATTGCGAACACTTACACATAATACTTAAAAGCAAAATTTGACCTAATTATGCAGTTTCTTATTCGACAATAGAATTCCGCTCATTTATTTGTAAACAATTTCAAATTTTAGAAACTAATAAAAGAAACACAGTCACACAATGTGAATTCAAACATTAATTGCAAAAGAATTAATGTAAAGTAAATGCCTATCCTTGTGGAGACTTATAAGCAGCTGCGGTCAGAAAAAGTACGGGACCCTTCATGTGTAGGGTATATAAAAATTTAATAAGATGAAAAAGAACTCATGCCCCAACCAAGGAAGTTTTATTTGTGAATGTTTAATCTTAAGCAGACATGCTTAACTTGCTAGCCCCTACATAATGTCTAAGCATTAAAGTTTTTAGGAAATAAAGGCAGTTCCAAATTTGAATTTCAACAATTGTAGTCCTTACAGTAGGCTTGGCAGTGTCAGTTCCAAAATATGTGGATTTCTAGGCTGCAGCAACAAAATGAAAGTAAATTTTCGTTCACAAGAATTGAAGGTGTAATTAAAAAATACCCATTAAGTATTGCGTCCAATATTTTGAAATTCAATTCATTAATTTTTTGCAAGGAAAGTTAATGTAACTGCACTGCGTCTTTGAAGTCATCAGTCAATTCAAAAATGATATATGTATATGTATATACTATATATATTTTATATTATAATATGCTTGTTCTTTTTTTTTACTTGGAAAATTTCATTAATAAACTAATCAATTAAACTTCAAAAAAACAAGAGTAAATGTACATTAAAATAAGAAAAATTTCAGTAATATACAAATATGGGTATAAAATAAACATGTTGAATCGCCAAAATGGAGTAACTATTTAGAATTAAGGATATTAATGCACCCACAAGGAATATAAATCACAAAGAGTATAAATATATAATAATTAATGTGAAGCTTAAACGACATTCTGAGTACTCCCAATTAGTTTCCATCAGTGCTCGACTATAAAATAAATTAATTGATATAACATGCAAAAAAAAAAAAGACAAAGGTGCAATCATAACGTTTTAAGTTTTATTATCTTCATAAATATATGCAAGTTGAAGCCTCATAACAGAACACAGCCTCGCTGCAACCCACTAGAAATAATAGTCATTGGAATGCTATAAATTAGTCATTAATCAGGCATATATGGCTATCTGTAATTTGAAATCGAATCACTTTCATAAATCTGAAATAATTTGCAATGTTGTTTATGGACACTTAGCTCTGCCGATTACTGTCGCAGTTCATTTCGATTTAGTTTTCAAAATCGAAATTTTATGCGTTCATATGTCGCGCTAAGTGGCTTGGCAGTGAGTTTTCAGTCCAGACCAGAACATGCCTTAAATGCTGCTGAATTATATGCCACGCACTTTTAATCAAGATACAATCTACACACACACACACACACACACATACACAACACACTCTACTGGCACACTCGTATGTAAGTGGAGCAAGCTAGAGGCCGGTTTATTAAACAATTTTTTATACAAATTACTTGAGCGATAAAATGTAACAATTTCTGCTCAATTGCCAGGCTTACTAACAATTTTTATAGAAACATAAATACAAGTATGCTTGATTTGTTTTCAATCGAGTGCGTTTGAGGTCTTTCGGTCCACTTAGCCAACACACCCAGTAATGCAACGAGCACTGAGAATTGTGGACTGAATGCGATTTGTATTTATGGCTAGCATTTAGCATATTTGTTAGCTTAATTAATCAGTAATGTTGGTTAACTGCAAACCTTTCCAAATTAATGCTATAATTGGCTACATTTACTTCCAAATGTACTGCAAATTATTTAAATTTATTTAATTTATTTCAAGAAGCGCACAGCTCTTGACTCATAATTAAACATGCGTTTTAAAAACATGACTTAATGGTTCTTGTTTTACAAAAAAAAAGAGCAACAGTAACAAATAATTCGCAATTAAATTTTGTTCACCTTCTTGTGATAAAAATCAGCAGCAAATTGTTCTGACGTTGAATGTGAACATTTAACATTTGATTATAATTAGTTTGGCACAGAAGGCACGACGATCTCCTTCCACCAACCCGCACGTGCCGATTACAGAAACCAGTTTAAAGGTAGAGCCAATGGCCGCCCCGAAAATCAAAGCTAAACTTTGCTATTATTTTACTAATTTGTAAAATTTGTAAAATTGTACAAAAATGTACAATACGTTCTATCTACTTTTGAATGAAAATCTATTCAAGTAAAAACGTTGTCGATATGACAAACGAACAACACACAGCTGTTGGACCATAAAAGTAATGCCGCTGACAACTGAGCTAAGTTGGACTATAGTTTGGCTTTTGATGAATACCCTTTATATGTGGAATTGTGTCTTGAGAAGCAATAACACATTTTTAAAATGTAGAATACGTTCTATCTACTTTTGAATGAACTTCTATTCAAGTGAAAATGTTGTAGATATGACAAGCTAACAACACACAGCTGTTGGAACATAAAAGCCATGTCTATCCATGAATACCCCCTATACTTGTATGTGGAATTCTGTCTTGCAAGGCAAAATTATTTTATTCGTTTGTTAGTTTGGCTTATGTAGAGTACAATAAGTTTAATATTCTGCATAAATTCTGCTGACTCTAGTCTAGGAAAATCACAATTGAATTCCTGTGCGAACTTTTGATGATGAATTGTGTCTTTTATTTTTTTTTATTTATTTATTTATTTATTTTTGTCAACAAACATTGACTGTCGACATAGGAAATATATAAAAATTATAAAAATCATAGCGAAGTGTGGTCAGAGGCGTCAATAGAACTACCGATATAAAAAAAAGAACAACTGAACAGAGAGAAGAAGCTTAGAAGCTTGTCTTGCAAGTCAGTATTATTTAATCCATTTGTTACTTTGGCTTTTGCAGAGTACAATAATTACAATATTCTGCATACATTTTGCTGACACTAGTCTAAGAACATCACATTCCATTTACTTTGCAATATTCTCCTATAAAACAATCCTCAAATGCACTGAATAAACACATGGTCTCGTTTTGTAAAGGGAATTTGCGAATAATGAGCAACAACAGACATCATGACTACGTTTTCTGTCATTTCAGAGAGCAATGCTCGCCTATATTTATTTATTTGTGTGTATGTGTGTAGAATGATGGATGGCAACAGCGTCGTCTCTATACTTAAACAGCAACAAAAAGTCAAGTCAACAAAGTCAAGCAGCCGTGCTAGCAGAAGCAGCAATCAGAATCAGATCCGGTTAACCAAAAACGTATTGAAGGGGCAGCAGCAACAACAACAATAAGCCGCTCAACTAAAAATTGAAGAACTGCTCAGTGAGCGTCGTTGCTCATTGGATTTGTTGTTGAACGGAAGCTTCACCTCAATGTGTTGATGATGCTGTCCGTGCATTTGTATTGGTGTGATCAGCAGTTACAAATGTGCGTTGGTGGCTTAGGAATGTTGCAAACACACACACTTATACTTATACATATATATATATATATATATATATATATATATATATATAGGAACACCTGTACACACTAAGTATACTTATAAGTATTTGTTCAGCATATATGACAAGTGGTTGACGTTGGAAAAACATGCACGACATCACGGATTCCCCCAAAAATAGTGACATGCAGAGTCGTCATCAAGTGGCGCATATACCGTGATTAATATCACGTTCGTTTCCTAAGTCTTTCGATTTGGTTGCATGAAATATGATATTGTCGCAATGTAATTATTGTTTTGTGTTTGTGTGCAATATTTTGTACTTTCTTCTTGGTCTGCGTGCGCAAACGCTTGACTATATATATAGATATATGTGTAAATATTTTCACACGCTACTGTCATATTTTGGGTTTATTTCACGTGCATGTGGCAGGGAAAGCTTGCCGTTAAATTGTGAACTAGGGTGAGGAATATCTATAAACTACACATGGTTTTTGAAATAAGAAAAGATAGTTAGCATTTAGAAAAATTGTCTTTCTTGTGTCGCTTAATAAATCAATTGATTTGTATTGCTATTAATTGCTTACTTGTTTTTGACAAAAGCTCGAATAACGTTTAATTCATTTTATTGAAACAACATTTTTTATGTTGGTGTCCATATTTTTATTCAATAAATTTTTAAAATATATAAAAATAATTTAGTTTGTTAAATTATAAGACCCTGTTTAACGAAATTCTTTATATTGTTGATGCAGTTATTTGAAAAATTTCTAATAAATTTCTAAATTTGTTTGAAGAAACTCTACACTGTAATTATATTTCAGTTAAATAGTAAAATATGTTCCTTTCACACAGGTGATTTTTAAAATTCCATTTCTCAATACAATAAGCAGAAACGTATAAATAAATAAAATATATTATAATTTATTAATTCTTAAGAGCCTGCTTAACGAAGTTTAAATTAATTGAAAACTTCTGGAGTTGTTTGAAAAAACTCTAACAATCGAAACGACTTAAGCATTCCAGCAGTTTTCAAAAATAAAAACTTAAATAATAAATCTCACACATTTCGAAACTGAAGTTAACTTTGTAGGCTCTTAGTACAATATTTAAGCATAAATAACAATGTAATTAGTTTTATTAAATTTGAAGCATGAATAGTTGAATTTGGCAATTATTGCGAATACTATATGTTTCGGGCTAATTATTTACATGTATGTAAAAATAGCCAATATAGGAATTTTTAATTAACTGAGAGGCATTTTGATTAATGTTGTGTACGCGGCAAAAAATCCGAAAAATCATTAACATCGTGTAAGCAAAATACGTGTAGTGCCTCATTTCATTTTGCCTTTTGGCAAGACTGCATTCTGCGCAACAATTTAGGATACCGACAGCTTTTTCTTGTTGTTTAATTAAGCCGCTAAAGATGAAAAAGAATTTTTTCTCGTGCTTCAAGCGGCAACGAGCAACGATTTGTGGTTCATTAAATTTGCCATTTGACCAAAATTGTTGCTAGTATTCGCATTCAGTGTGCATGGCGCCGTTTGCTTCACAAATTAAATTAAGTCATGTGCGCATTTTTGTGCACTCGAATTGGCAACCAATTAACAGCTAACAAATAGATGTCATTGTTATATGCTATTACCCGTATGTGCCCAAAAAGATTCTTGAGAAGATTCAATAATTTGTGTTCTAACTAACTTCAAACTGTTGTGGACAGTATTTTTAATTTAATTTACATTTTATTACAGTCATAATTTTATGTGATGGCCCACCAGCCAAGTCACACATCACATGATCGACGCTTTTGGGCCAATTCACAAATCTGTTGTGCACATCCGCAAGCCGTGAGAGTTGGCCAAGTTTTTGGTACGTTGACACTAACAGAATCCAAAACTGCTACCAAATTGCTTAAGGGGCCACGTTTGTTTTTCTCAATTAAGCAAATAATTTCATAATTAACGCGCGACTAGCTTTTGTCTTTTAAAGAGAGAGACGCTAAATATGGCAAACGACAAATATAATGGATCTGCTGTTTTTTTTTAAAACAAAAAACGTGACAGCTCATCAGCTTTTCTAAAAATAAAAAGCATTGCATTGAATTTTTATTTTCTTGGAACTAACAGCGAAACATTTGTTTCAATTAATGCGTTAGAAGAATTTTAGAAAGATTTTAGAATGGACAAAGTTTAACCTTTCTGTTAAATAAATATAAATATAATCCAAATCCAACTTTATGTGCCAAGTAAAAGCTACTTGAAAGATTTTAGAATGGAAAAAGTTTAATCTTTCCCTTAAGCTCGAATAAGATATCGATGCTTAACGATCGTAAATATAAATAAATAAATATAAATAAAGATTTAATCCAATTCCAACTTTATGTGCCAAGTAAAAGCTTAGCCTTTATTTCAATAAATTTTGAGTGAGCTCGCAAATTGCTTTACAGTCCAATAAATTACTTCTGCAGTTTTCGTTTCGAGCTTTACATAAAAATCTAATAAAGTTAGCCAATAAATTGCAAAAAACACACACACACACACATACACATAGACATTAAAATCCAAGTGCTAATGACTGTATAATGTAAATATTTATCAAATGCATTCGTCAGGGCGGGCTCTATATATTTGATTTCCTTATATTAGCGCTTCATCACCATGCTGGGAGCGAAATCCAGCCGTACAATGGATTGCATTTGAAGTAAACAGCATGCTGTGCATAAATAAAATGATATGCAAAAAAAAAACATAAACAATGCATAACAAATAACAGAAAATATTGTACAATTAGACGTGAAAAGACTTGGTGGCGCAACAGACTCATTTAGCCGACCATACCTATCGAATGGCCGTCCATTGACATTTGACTCCATAGTTGTGTCTGGCTGTGGTCGACACGCCCACTTTGCTGTGTGATATCTACGTGACGGACGGGTGGACGGGCGGACAGACGCTTGGAGAGACAGATTAGAATAGCGAATGTCTTGAAATATGAATAATAAATCGTTTGTTGTTTATCGGTCAGTTGGTGGCACGAGATCTTGGCACGTCTGGCGATATGTGGACGTTGCCAGCACATTCTGCCGCAAGGCAGTGTTTTGTCTCTGCCAGGCGATGACGTCAGAGCCAGTGCTTTGCAATTATGAGGCGGCTTTAGCAAATAACATATTTATTGTAAATTCCATTAGCTGTGTTGTTAACTGCCTCAGGCATGTAATGCGTTTCTGGTTAGTGCTTCGATAGTTCATATATGCAATTATAATATAGGAAGTAGTACGATGCAGATATATATTTTTTTAAGTACTTGGGTTGAGCATGGGTTGGCAAGCGACTGCGCTTAAATTGAAAGTAAATATTTGTATTGTTCAACACTTGGCCAAACACTCATTTGGCAAGAAAAACTATCAATAACTGAACATCTTTCTCTAATCAAACGATTTTTTAAAGTTTTCACCAAGAGAAAATACAATAAATATTATGAAATATTTTTAAGAAAAAACGGTTTATGTTTAAAATGTAATTGAAGCCCAAATGCAAAATTGATAACTACTTTTTATTGAAAAAAGAGTTGGTACAGACAAACAATTTGTAGGGTATATATTATATAATATATTATATATAATGATTTTATCGAAAAGCATTTAGACTTATAACTTCTTTACTCGTAATATAACAACATCTTATTAATTTGACTGATAAATCACATTCAAAAACATACTAGCTTTTTAAAGAACAACACACGGGGCGTATACACAACAAGCTATCTCAATTATAACTCAGAGCCACTGGGAACTCAGAGCGTTTGGGAATTATATAGACTGCTCCAACAACCTGCCCAATCTGCAATCTTTTTCTTACTGTAAGCCACATTCTACTATATTGTCCCCGATTCCAAATAGAAAGATCCCAACACCTTAAGCCAAATAATAAATAAACCAAATAACGGCAACCAACAAACAATAGCATTTCTTAGGGACACCAAAATATGCAACCTAATATAATCACTCATTAATATTTTTACAATTTTTTTATAATTAATACACCTCCAGAATCTGAAGGCCCTCACTGCTGTAGCTTAATTACTTTAAGTAACTCATAATGTGTAATTGCGAATTGAATAATAATAACTACTTGTATATAGATAAATATAAACATCAAATAGTTACGTCTTCTCTTGGTTGATTGTAATTTATTTAAAATTATTTATAAACATCAAATAGTTTCTTCTTCTCTTGCTTAGTTCTAATTTATTTAAAACTACTTATATTTATTTATATACATGTCTTAGCCATTTCAAGAAAGAGGGAGCTATCGTTCGCTTCTATATCTATATATATCTAATAAGTATCTGTGGAAATGGGCTTAATTGAATTTGTATAACATACTCGCGTACTCACCATAACAATGCACAAAAGCGTGCCTGTAGCCCAGACTAATCAGCAACAATAGGAGGGCACAGCACGTTGCTGATGATGACGACAACGACGACGATGATGATGTTAATAATGATGTTGGATGCTGGAGCCTGTAGCTCCGACCCCGCTGTGATGCCCGCCGCTGGGGCGCGCTTTGAACACTCATATTGATTGCAAATTATTTGGATATGATGTACTATGTGTTTGCTTTTGTTATTATGCACAAATAAACAAAAATTTCGTTTCCTTGATTGTATTGTGAAATCAATTAAACAAACTTTGCTGGCGGCGCTTTGCACTTTTTTGGAACTTTGCTTTCAATTGATTTTGTTTTGTTATCACGCGACGCATTTGAATAATGACTCGTACTAGTATTTAGGAAAGTGTGTATTTCATTTGAAGCTTTTACAGCTTATCATAATTTGCAACTTGCGGCGACTTTGCTGTGTGAAGCGTAAATTTTCATTAATTATTTCACGTGACTCATGAGAAATTGTTGTGTGTTTTTATGTAAACCATTTGTTAATAAAACGTGCGCGTTTCTGCAATTTACATAATTTTAAATTTAATCAATTGTGGTAGTTCAGTTTATAGCTCTAATGGCTCTGACGCTGCTGGCAATTCTCGTTTCTTCGTAGAAATTTTGATGCGTCAGAAATGTTTGTGGAAAACGCGAACAAAAGATTTAAACAATACTAACAGTTATTGCATAATCTTGGGCGAATCTGAAGAGTAGAAGCGAAGGTTTCCAAACGAATTGTATGGCAGAACTTTAATTTACAACAAACGTTTGGCATAAAAGCAATATTTTCAAATTAATATTAAAGTTGTGCCATTCCAGCTGATAAGAAATGAACGATTCTTAAAAAGGGTTCTTCAAAAGACTAAAAATTAATTAAAGTGTCAAATATATAAAATAATTGTTAATATCTGTTTTGGTAATACAATTAATTTATTGCTTTGTTAAAAATTAATAGAATCTGCAAATTAAAGTAAAGCTATGCCTTACTCTTACTGTAGAGCATAAAAAAGGGCTTAGTTAAATCAATAATTCGTACTTTAGAATTCCAATGCCAAATTAGAAATATAATAAAAATTCTTAGTTTCGATTTAAGAAGTGAAAGAAGTTCTATTGAGTTAATAAATTCATGAAATAAATGTATGAAGAAATTGTTACTTTCATTTCGATAAGTGAAACAAGTTATATCAACATAATATTTAATGAAATAAATAAATGAAAAAATGCTTAGTTTTGTTTCGAGAAGTAAGAGTTATGTTGATAAAAAAAGACGATTGAAAATAAATTTCCAATTTCTCTGTATAAATATAACTCGTCATTGAATTAAATATAAACAACTAAGTCATGAATATAAAACAATACAAAAAACTTATATATAATTTAACGCCAAAACAACTTGTTCCAAATTTTACTTTTCAAGACTTAATAATGTTATTAATTATTTGTCTCTTTCATCGCAACCACAATTATCTATTTTCGTACATACTTGAAATCGTTAAAGATCTTTACGAACTGTGCGGCCAATTCATGAAGGATACAATTATATATTTCTAAAACACTCTTATTCGATTTCATTAGCCATTGTTATGGCTTCAAATAATGCCAAGTTATTTTCTAGCCCAAACAAATATTCAAAAAATGATTTTGTTTACAATTATTTGTAAGGCTAAACGATTCACTGATATTATAGATTTTTTTTCGCACAACTAAACAAATGGTTTTGAAATATGTTCAGTCATTTCAAAGCTTTTCTGTTAGCCACCATGGAAGGCCGATCAAGAAATATGCGCACAGCCAAAAGAAACAAACACATGCTCTAATACATATGTATATACGTGTGTATAAATAAGTTTATGAACAATATATAATAAGAGCCACAAAAGCTTCTTGTACACAGGCCAAAAAAATGATGAAACGGTGCGTTTATGTTTCAAATTAATTATATTGCATAGAGTAAGCAAAAAAAGGTCTATTAAATGCAATATGTGTACAGCAAACTAAATGGCCAGTAAACCAAAAACGGAATTGCCCACAACCAGCCACAACAACAGCAACAAGTACGAGCAATTGACCTTCCAAGCGTCTTAAAAATACAAACCGACCGAGCCATTAGTCATAATCGACAATAGTCGAGAAAGAAGCCGAAAAAGAAAAAACAAAAATAACAACAACACAGCCAACCAAATGACATGCGCAGAGACAACGGCAGCAACAACAACAATAATAAGAGAGCCATTGCACAACTGCAAACAATTAACATTGCCATTACAAAAGCAACAACAACAATGACGAGCCATAAAGACAAAGCGCCCCAAGCTCTTTTGTGTCTTTTCGTCTGATGTTCGCACATTTGTTGTTGTTTTGTTTTGAACATATTTTTAAATTTAGAAATTTTTAACGAGAGCGCAAACACAAATATCCCTAATGGAATTAAAGCATAATTAAAAATTGCTCGGCAATCAGCTGTGCGTAGAGAGCGTACAGAGAAGTCTTTTGGAAAGCAAGAAAGAAGCAATGCCGCTGGATTTAAATTTTGTGGAAATTAAGTCTGCAGCATAGGTAAAAAAAAATGCTAAATTAGATATTACTTGTAAGTTTGTAGGTGCAATAGAAGGTTGATTTTAGTGGGTGGAAGTCCTCATTTATATATCTGCAGATCTCTCAGATCGAGAAACACAACATAAAGCACCCAATAAAAAAATTTTAGGATGGTTCCTTAGCCACCCATGTCCGTTTGTCCCAAAGCAATCAGCCTGCCACTAAACAGAGAGGCTTTTCATAAAAAATAGTAGCTGCCATATGTTTCACAAACCGTCTTTATGTCTAATCTCTCATTTCTACTTATATCAAACAACTTTTTGTAATTCCAAACGCTGTTGTGAAAATTATCGATCGTTCAATCGATCGTCGTTAATGGTGTCAGCAACTAGAGATGGACCTGCCTCGGCTTTCTTTGGCCCGTCACGACACGGCCACACATCTACTTTTCAAAACCACGCGCACGCGCCCACACGGTGAACATTTTTCATAACGCCCCATTTGTGGATATACAAAGAGGAGCGTCTTAAATCGAACTAGTGCCAGAAAGTGAAGATTTTAATTATTCACATGCGTACTATATATGGTAGAGCTGTCAAATCTCGATTTGGCAACATTTTTAGTTGCTCTGTTTTCCGTAAGAAGTTCTTACACACAAATGTCTATATCAGAAGGTTTTTGTGAAAGTAGTGCGTTTCAAAGAACGAATCAAACAAATTGTTCGGTATGATGACAAAAGTAATGATAAATGATAATGACTAAAAATGCTAAATAGCTTAGCAAAATACTAATTTAGTTCCCGTGGCTTAAATGAATTAAAATTTATAATTTTTGTGCAGGAAGAAAAGGTTGCTCTTTTCACTTGCTATTTTTATTCAACAAATAAATAACTATACAACACTGCTTGGTATTTATAGATATTTGTTTAGAAAATTAATTAAAGGTAATAATTCTAACAATTTTATATCCTGTTATTCGTCATGTTCTTTTCTTATATTATCGTTTTTCCTCGTTCGTATTTGTTCGTGAAACATTTCCATCACCAACCGCTGACACTGATATTACGGATATTACCATTTTATAGAGTAATATATTTTTTCTCAATTCATTAATGATAGATCAATTCTTTTGAATTTATCATAAGTAGAGAATTTTCAAAGGACAATAAAAAACTGGACTTTATTGTTGTAACGAACACTTATCTTACCTTCTTTTTAACTTATTTGAGAAACTTAAAAAAATGAAATAAATTTCATATTTTTACTCTGAATAGGTTTTACACTTGATCTGAGACTCAACATAAGAAAGCTGGATATTTATTTCTGTTATTTCAAATTTAATTTAGCAATAAATTAATGTTTCTAGCTTGTTTTTCAAAGTAATTTTTGAATATGCTTTTGATCAACTGCATTGTTCAAATACTTAAACAAGAGTGATAAGCGTTTCAAATTAAAATCAATTAAAATATATTTATATTACTTAGAGTGTTAGATAGTAAAATATTTTCTAAAAACAATGCAAATCTATGATATATTCATAAAATTTCCACAAATTGTTGTGAAAATATTACAATTTGTTGTTCCGTGAAACTCTAATACGGCTTCCATACAATTAAATCATTGAAGTCTTTTCAAAATTGAAAAAAAAAGAAAGAAAAACTTTGCTTCGCTCCCAATTTGTTGGCCGCGAACTTCCTTGAACTCGAATAAAGGTGAATAGTCATTAAAAAATGAAGAGCTCAGTAAATAAAAAATTGCCCAATAGAGATGTGTTTGGCGAAATTCTGATTGGCCGAGAGCGTGGGATCGTACATTAAAATGCCACACAAAAGCTGCAATTTGCTTATAATTATAGACACTTAGTTTAAATTAAATAAAGGCCTTGCTTTATGATCCACTTAACGCACACATTACATTTCATTTTATGTTTGCACTTAAACTTTCATTTCATATTGAAATTTCACAGAGAATGTGTTTATTAACTTATTATATAGTACTGTGTATCTGTGCGAGTTTAACGAATTTCTAGGCTTTTCACAGTTCGGTTTTGGATGCCGAAGTTTCACATTTGATAGATTATTATTATTATTATTGGGAAAGGTTTTTCAGTTGTGCGAGACTAGACGAAAAATTGCGCAAACGCAGAGTTGAATTTTTGTTTCACAAGCTGTGTTGTTGTTGTTGCATGGCGGGGCGAAGAAGAAGCAGCAGCAGCAGCTGGTCGCAACAGCAGCAGCCACACAAAAATAAATTAAATTCATGAACGAAAACGTAAGCAAGACACTCGAAAAAAGCTCGAAGCGGACAAAGAAGAAGAAGACGAAGAAGAAGCAGCAGCACCAGCACCAGCAGCGAAGAGGCAGCACATGAAGACGCAAAATTTGCGTGAGAGCAAAAGAGATGGCGAACCCACAACGACAACGACCCAAAAAATCAAATTGAAGAAACAAAAATAAAATACAAATACAAATAACAGCAAACAAAGCAAACACGAAAAAGGAACAACAAACGACTCTAAATGCTGCAAATAATTTGGCAGCGGGTGGTTTTAACTTCTCGAACATTTCATGGTTTGTTTTTAACACTTTTTCCATTTTTTCTTTTTGAAACTTTAACGCACAAACATTTGTAAAAAAGACTCGCCATGACTTCACATAACTTCACTCTTCATTTCGCAAATAGCTATGTGGTATGTACAATATGTAGGTATGTATGTATGTATGTACATACTCGCATGTATTCACCCAAGTGTGTAGATAAAAGTGCACAGCATAAATTATAATAACGGTGACAGCAAAATGCCGAAGACGAGCAACAATTACTTAAAGCGCATGCGCGACACGTTTACATTCACTCTCACTCGTTCGAGACGCGGTCGCAACTGACTGACAACGACAACAACAACACACACGCAACACACAACACGTCCAGCACGGCCAAGAGTTCGTTCGATACTGAACTCGGCTCAGCTGTGGCTCAACGAACGGCTTGGGGCTCGCTCTTTCCTACTGCTGGGCTAGGGAAACCAAGTCCAAAACCGGTCGCCAAATCCGTCGTCATAATCGGCGCACAGTGGCCAACATTAGCTAAGATGTTGTCAAAATGAATTAGATGAACACATTTTCCACAACAACTAAGAATACAAAAATATGATTTGTGTAGAAAAAATTGGATTATTCTTAAGTAACAATTGAAGTGTTTTTTCTTAAATATTGCTAGAGAGCAGGTTGATATTCAAAGCTCTCTCTTTTTTTCACTAAGAACGAGAGAGCCCTTTTCGCCAACAACTTAATTACATATATATATAAAAAAAATATTTAATTATTCTGAAAAACCAATTGAAGGCTGTTTTCTTAAATATTGCTAGAGAACATGTTGATAATCAAAGCTCTCTCTTTTTCTTCACCAATTGGCCTGCTAAGAACGAGAGAGACGTTTTCGCCAACAACTAATACATACATGTATGAATAAATATGATTTCAGTTAAAAAAAATGTAATTATTCTTAAATAACAATTGAAGGCTATTTTCTTAAATATTGGAATATGATATGCACAAATAGACGATCAATAAAAAAGAGTTTGATAAACTAATGGTGGAGAGCAGGTTGACAAACAAAGCTCTCTCTCTCTCTCTCTCTCTCTCTCTCTTCTCTAATTGTCCTGTTACGAACGAGAGAAAGGGAGAGACATTTTCCCCAACAACTAATACCAGGCAAGAATATAATATTTGCCTAAAAAATTTAATAATTCCTAAATAAACATTGAAGGCATCTTTATTATTGGAACAATGGCAGAGACGAGGTTGATATTCAAAGCTCTCTCTCTGTCTTTCTCTTCATTCTCCTGTTAAGAACGAGAGAGAGATTGACTTGTCTTTAAGATGCTTATAAAGGTCGCAGAAAGTCACAACATAGGTGCAGCGATTTGGATGTAGAATTCAGCTCCAGACTCCTAAAATCTAATCCGAAGCTGGTGTGCCTGTTCAGGAAAAGACTAAGCCAGGAAAATTTCTGATATCGGTACTGCCAAAAAATTTATAAATATCATTGTGAAAGAAATGTTGAATGCAAATCAATGTTTATTGACAAAACTACCAAAAATGATATATCGGTGGCAAACAAAGTCTACAAATCAAGTTTTATGAATTGAAAGTAATTCGTAAACGTTTCTATTACGGACCACAACATACCTATAAACCTATTCCTACTATTTTAACATCAAATATAAGTGCAACACTGGCCACAGTGCCTCCTCAATTTTTTAAAATAATGTATCTTGCTCTCTCCTCTGCTCTGTTGGCACGGACCGGAGACGCTTATGCTGCACTGCGCTCCATATCCATGTCTGTGGCGGATTTGCGCGATTTCGGCGCGTTTTGTGCTAAATGAGTTCCGTCAGCTTGACATGCAATGTGTCGCATTAATCACGGCTACACATGAGATTTTCCCATAGGAGTACAAATATTGTGCTGTGGGTTTTCCCAAAGAGATGGGCGTCTTTGTAAATCCGTTTAGTTTTCGTCCAAAAGGCAAAACTTAGGAGGCGCTTGGGAGGTGGAAGGTGAGAGTGACATCTTTAGTTAATATTTTCATTGTTTTCTCACTCTCTCTATCTCTCTCCTACTCTTTCTCAATCTCTTCAACAGCAATTAGAGCGCCAAATGTAACCGAAGCTTGTGTTTGTTCATACCCAACATTATAAATATTTAGGTAGAATTTATTGTGCTACCGAAAATGTTTGCTGTTGCATTTTTAAGTCTGCTATTTTGTAAAGAAGAGATTTGTAAAGATATATAAAAGCTTATTAAGAGTTTCTAGCTTATTTCCAGAATCAGTAATAATAGTATCAACTTCTCTGAACTGGAGAATAGCTCATCAATATTTTGTTCATATATATAACATAGTATTACAATTAACTCAACTGAACTCGAAACAAATTTGCAGCTCTAGCGACTGATAAAAAATATTTAGAGTCTGCCTAAGAGGCACTTAAATCCACTTAAATACTTGTATATAAGTGGAATACTATAGTAAGTATATTAAGTCTGGAAGAACAAAATCTGAAAATGTAGAGTAAAACGCATTTCGGGATGGATTCAAGCTTAGTAAAGCTGCTTCCCGATTTATTTTACCCTTGTTTAGAAAAAGACTTCCGCAGGATATTGGTAATATTTAAAGATCTTCGGTTAGAGAACTACTCAGAATGCTTAAATTTAAAATTAAATTAAACGCAAATATTCTTTCAACATCCTGCAATTAGTTTCGAAGCTTAAGCTGTTATCCTTATATGGATGTACAAATTAAAACTAATTCTTGTATTGCAGCCTTAAGTGTTACTCGACATATTCATATTCATGGCGATTCATATTTTATGTCAATTTTTCCATTCTAGGTATTTCAACAGCTCTGTGCTTCTGCTTCTTCGCTTGCAGCTGCGCAAAGCTGTTTGCACATTAAAATCAATTAAAATTCTTATTTATTTCTTTTTGCAAAATCACTAACAAGTGCAGCACTCGCATCTTATAAATATTTATCACAACTAGAATGCACAAAAAGTGAGTAATAAGAACTTCAAAACCTACATACTCGTACGCATTGCATTTCAAGATATTCTTAATTGATTTTCGTTGGCAACACAAAAATGTTTCATGTTCAATTGTCATTAAAAGACAAAAAAAGTACACATACGAGTACAACTTCAAAAGCAAATAATCGTAAAGCAATGCTGCAAGTTAAGTAATTAAATTAATTAATTTTTATGTGCCAAGTTCTGATTTATCTGTGCGTGAGTTGCGCCAACATGTGGCAGGCCTTCAACATGGCGTTGGTTGTGTCCGATGTTGCATCAACTTTATCGATCTGGGTAAGTGCCTTAATTGTTTACATTAACGTTGCGCACATTTAATGAACGTATTATTATTATGAGCTGAAGATTGTTAGAAGGTATATACAAAGTAGGAAATGCCAATGTGCTATACAAAAAAAAATTGTTTAAGACATGTTTTAAGCAAAAAATATCCATACTCGACGTAAAAAATAATTCTAAATCTTCTTAATAGGATTTCAATAAAGGCCAGTTTTCATCCTAAATGGAAAAGTAGTCGAATTAGCATTATCCTGAATGCCTAAACAAGAAGAGCTTAGAAGAAAGCATGGTTTCGTAATATTTGTATATCTTTTGTATACTTCCTAAGTTCTTGGCCAGATCTCTGACTACGCAAAACATATTCGTAATAAATTTAAAGAATATTAATTATTATATATTATTATTAATTAATATTACTATTATTAATGCCTTCATGGAACCAATTTAGAATCGACGATAAAGCTTGGAACTATTGATGCTGACTTATATGCGACTGTCAAGGTCCTTAAAAAACAATAAATTTATTTTTATTTAGTGTACAGTTCAGACAATAGTTAGCCATTATATATGATCCATACATTGTGCTAAAAAGTGTTTTTAATAAAAAATGGCTGCTGTATAAAAAAACGATGTAAAAAAACGCGATCTGCCTATGGATGCCACTAGTCTAGATGCTATGTTTAATATTTCCAGCTGATTTAAATCAAAAGTTCTTGGTTTTCATACAGAGGGACAGTTTTTACTTAGATTACTTAGACTATGAAGATCTATATGAAATGAAAGTGATGAATCGCCTTAAAATTGCGGAATGCATTGTATTTGAATTGGGAATATCGTGCGGCAATTCGCAAACGTATTTGGCCTGGCCCTCGAGTTGAGAAGCAAGTTTTTTTGTTATTGTATTATATGTGTCTGTATAAGGAATACGCGCAATCATATTTTAGATATCTTGATTTCTATTTATGTATCAATCCATCTATCTTCACCTGAAGGACCTATCAAAGCAGCTCTCGTGCAGAACCACTTGAGAGCCATCAGAACATATAGTACTTCAAATTTGCCAGGCGCGCTGCTCAAAGTAAACAACAAAACTCTGAAGTACGCGTACGTTAAAAATACCCAACGCCATTCAAACACTTTCTAATGGGCTCTTTTTTTCCTTCTCACTATCGTATGCCAAGCCCCAAGCCGCTTAATAGTTCTAAGCACCTTACTGAACTATAAAACGCACACTTTGCACGGATTTTAACAACAAATCCGCAACGCTTGATACAAAGCAAGAATAAGAAAAAACAAATGGAATTGTTTAGAGCTAGCAGCTGTGTTTTTTTATATTTTTCCGCAAGTTGTTTGGAACAAAATAAAAAGAAAAAGTGAAGGGTAAGCAAGCTTCGCATAAATGACATGCTCCATAAATATGTTTGTATGTACGAGCACAGTGTTCACAAATTAATAATTATTTAATAAAAGATTAAAGCTACAGGCAGCTTTCACCTAAATGCCTAAAACTCGTGCCTTGTGAAAAGCAAAAACAAAAAATAGACAAGCAAAATAAATTGCTACGCATTGCTGTATAATCGATTTTGTATAGCTTCGTAGTTTTTGATTCAATTTCAATTTGGATTTTGTTACTTTTTTTTTATCAAAATAAGTTTTTAATGGCACATTTCTGTGTAGCTGTTGCTGTTGCTATTGACTTGCAAATCGAGAGCAGTTTAGAGCACGCATTGGACAACAAGGCCGCATGTGGAGCCATGACTCGACAGTAGCAACAACATGAACGCACAAAACTTTAAAGATTTTGAAAAAGAATTAAAAGCAAAATCAAAATCAAAAAACTCCGACAGGTGACAACAACGAGAGCACGCGAAGGCAGCCAATTACAACAACAACAACAACTATAGCAACAATAAGAGCAGAATTAGCTTGTACGAATACTCGTATACTATATAGCGTGTGTCGGCCAAATGGAACGTAGCACGCCATTGAAATAACACGGCATAGCGCATAACTCATACGCACTGTATGACAACGGCCTGAAAGGCTCTGCAAAACACTGTAGGCAGCTCTAACGCTCTAACTATAGCCGTAGGTCTGCATAACATGTTGCCACATGCTGACAGCTTTAGAATGTCAAATAGAATTAAATATACTAGACGCATTTCCATGTTTTATTAACAGAATAAATTGGCTTTGAGCACTAAACTGGTATAAGGCAAGAAACAATTCGTATACAGTACTTTCTATAACTTTAAGTAGAGTTATATATATATGTAATAAATCTGCAGTTCTTTAGTGTTGGGAGTTAAATACTACAATATACAATTCTTTAAAGGAGGAATATTAAACAAAATCTATGTTGTGCTGGCTTAAAGCCCCCTTGGCTTCTTACCATTTCCAAGAGTTTCAAGAGCTATCTTATAAGTAGTTAGGAAGTGGAGCATAATAGTTCATCTTCTTTGGCTTTAGCATTAACTGAACATCTAGAAGCGTAAGCTTTACTTGACATAGAAATCGAGGGGAACCTACCTGTTATTTAAATTAAGCAACTTAGCCCCTAAAATATCAATTTAAAACATTTTAGTTGAACTTAAATAAACGCACTTTTTTTTTATCAATAAATTAAACTTTCTTTGGCAGGAAAGTAAGCTCAACTTGGAATAGGAAACGAGAGGAATCTAATTCCTAGTTTTCTTAGGCAACGTAACCGCTAAAATGTCAATTTAAAATCTTTGGGTTGAACATAAATAAAGGCACATCTTAATAAATCTATAAAGCTTTCTTCGGCAGGAAAGTAATCCACATGTTAATAAATCTATAAAGCTTTCTTCGGCAGGAAAGTAATCCCTATTTGGAATAGAAACAATGAAGAATCTACCTCCTATTTAACTTTAAAACCATAACTGCTAAAATGTTTATTGAAAACCTTTTAGTTGAACTTAAAGGAAGGCACTTCTTTATCAATCTTTAAAACATTCTTCGGCTGTGCAGAAGCTTCATTATTTGTTTTGAATTTCTTTCAAAAACAGTTCATAATTATAAGTATATCACTAACTTAATTTATTTTTAAAAAAATATATTTTGAAAGCATCAAACAAGCTTATTCAAAATATTATTGCCAATATTCCAATAGTCCAGTCCAGACACAGCTTCTTCACCATTTGTTACTGTCCGATTATTAAATAATGTAAAATTATTGCGCTGATCTCATGAACAAGTGCGCTGTAACTAAGAAGATAAGTTTACAACATGTTCCCTTTCACTTAATACAGCTTATAAACAATGCCGATTTAATTGCCGCATGTTAGCTCAAACCCAATTGATTTGCTTCGTATTTCTAATGCAATTTTACCATAAAAAGCGCCCAGCCAGCCAAACATCTCAATTTGTGAAGGCATTTGATGCGGTGTGGTGCGGCCAGGGGCTGGCTAGTCTGGCAAAATACTAAACCACCTGAAATAATCAGCCGGCTGAGTCTCAGCTGTGCGGTCGATCGGCCGAGACACGACGTATGCGTACGTGATTTTTGATTTAATTAAGTTTGTGCTTGGCAACAAAAAGCGCACACTGTAAATGAAGTGAACTTATTTTTGTTGTTGTCGGTTCAGTTGTTGTTGTTGTGGTTGCAATGCTCGTTAAACTGACATTGACTTTGGTCATGAAAGCGATTTGTGTTGGTCAGTTATCCAGCCATGCAGACACTTCACTGACTTAGTCCTTCATGCAAGAACGCCTCAATCGAAGGATTAGTTTGTGTTTCTCCTTCTCTTTCCCTCTCAGTCTCTCTCTCTCTCTCTTTCTCAGTTTGTGCATATACTCGTAGATATGATTCATCAATTCATAATTAAAGCTCCGGCTCCGGCTTCTTGGTTACACGTTACACGTCCAATAACTCATGCAGCAGCTAAACGTTTATTGCAATCAATTAAATGCTCAAGAAACGCAAGGTCATTGTCATAAATTACAAGACAACAACAACAACAAAAAAACACATTGATTTGCTTGTCGCACTAAATACCGTTTGTGTGAATGAATATTAAGAAAACATTAACGAAATATTTCGCCTAAGCTACGTTTATTGTGCAAGTGCGTGTAATCACAAAGCAAGTGGTTAACAAAATTACATTTGGGGGGTTTTTCATTTTTCATATTAATAAGCTCAATATTATAAATGATGCACAAAATAATAATTTTTTCCAATCATTTCAGTTAGGGTTAATCAAATACATTTGCATTAAATATTTTAAAAGACATTTCATAACAATGTTGCTATTTAGCTCATTACTGTTTCAATCTACAGCTAATAATTTATTTCAAACAATTATTCCTTATACATTTTATTTCAAATTCAATGGAAAACGTTTGATTCCATCAGCTAGTCGCAGAAGTTATAATGCTGTTTAATTTATTTTCTGCTTGCATCCCAAAAGTATGCTACAAAAATGTGTCCCTATTTACGACTGACCAGCTCTTACAGTTTGATGTTCATGTACAGTTTAGGTAGCACTACAAAGAATCTAAAATCATTAACAAACTAGTTTCACACACGGAATTGTAATATCACACGAATGCTAATTTATTTATGTTTAAATCACAAAATATTTACTTCCTAAATTCAACAACAATATACAAAAGTCTGCGCAACATGCTAAAAGTTATCCGGCCTTTCCAGCATCTGCGTCAAGTCTCTGATCATCGTATTATGTTCAAGTGGAAACATTTTCTCAACTTGCGCCCATGTAAATGGCTTTGGCACCTCTTCCAAATGACGAGCGACACCAAAAACGCGCAGTCTATAGATCAGAAACTCATACAAATACATGCGCTCTGGGGTGGTATAATGGAAGGCTATGGAATAGTTGGAACAGCAGCCAGGACCCTGTATAGGTATAGAAGGGGAAATTTAAACATTGTTTAGTTACTCAGTCTGTGTTAGCTTTACCGTTTCAATTTCCGTTGCGGTCATTAGGCGTAGCCAATCCGGTATCGTTATATTCACATCGTACATATATTTGGCCACATCCAGCGGGAAGAGTTTCGTCTTTATATCATTAGTAAGCGCATAACGGGCATCAATCAAATGAACGCCGACATTTTGCAAACAAATGCCCATATAGAAGTCCTCAATACCATTCTTCTTGGCCTCCGGACATATTTTGCTTGACTCGTATGCCTGCCTTCTGAAGCGACGCAAGGCCTCGCGACTGAGAATATACGAAGCACCGCCGGACATGTAACTCTAATGGGAATATATATATTCAGAAAATAGGGATTACAAATGTTTCATTTAATTACTAGCGTAGAAATTTAAAAGTGAACTAAAACTTGTAATGCTTGGATAGAGATTACAAAATAAATAATAAAGGCAAGCTTTAAAAATGTTTCTAGAAATAAAAATTTATTAACAAAACAAGCTAATCATTGGCATCATCGTGAAAAGTAAAGTAATACATTTAAATTAAGCAAATTTTATAAGATAATAATGAAGAAAACGTTAAAGTTGAGGCAGTTTATTGATTTATTTTATTATAAAATAATGATGTCCTAATTATTTCTATTACATTAATGGATCGAGCGTTATCTTCCTTTAAACCTAAAAAAGCAAGTTGTGCCAAAATTTTTGTGATTCACTATAAATATTTATACATTGTAAGAACTTGTAAACACTTGGCGTTATCATTTTTTAAAATATTTTTTATATAAAACTTTAAACGAGGGTTATCTAAAAAATCAATTTGTGCCAAAATTTTTGTGATTCACTATAGATATTTAAACATTTTAGGAACTTGTGAACACTTAGCATCATAATTTATTAATATTATTTCGATAAAACGTTAAACGAGAAGCTAGCTAATCATGAAGTCGGCGTGTCTGCTTTTATGTATATTCACATAATGCGCATCAATCAGCTTTTAAAATTTCATCAGATCATAAGCCACACCTATTACATGACTCGCCATTACATTAGGTCTGTTGCTAAGCCCCTGCCATATGCAAATTTCCAAAAATAAACGCCCACTCGGCTCGTAATAACATCGATGCTAAATGAATATTTATATTCAAAAATCCGAAACAGCCGTGCTATGCGTATGTTAGAGGCAGCTAATTAGTAACGGCACACAAGTGTGTTGTGTGTTGTCAAAATGCCGATAACCGTGAAGTTGCGACGCTGCCGACAAATCCGCTGTGAAGGTCACACCACACGGATTTCAATTCAATTGGTCAGTGGTATGCCATAAGTGGAGCCGCTTCGAGGTGTCAAAATAAATTTAATTGAATTGTGTCTAAGAAAAGCCGTAATAAATAAAATTTCAATTACTAGCCATAATATTAGAGCATCATGTTTATGTGAAGAGATTATTTGATATTATATAGCATAGGTTCGCCTGGGGCCTGGGGCCTGAGGTCAGTTTTATTTTCATTGGCAGGCAATCATGATGGATTTGAGGCTTAAATAAAGTGAACATCTAAATTGTTTGAAGAATTTTGCGGTCTCATTACATTTATTTCAAATCATCATGGAAGCTTTTGTGACCATAACTGAAAAGAGTGACTAGTCTAAACTAAGTCCAGCCATCGCATATTTACGGCAATTAAAAAAATATATATATCAAAAATTTTAACAAAAAAAAAACCGAGATTTGGTGCAGTGAATAGTTTTTTGTCATTTAAAGCAACTTTATATTTCGAGGATGATGCTGAAGTAACTGCTTGCTGTTCAGGCATAGAATTTTCAGCTATTTGCACTAAATGAGTTATGTTTAAGGAGTTTTCTAATGGATGCCATTGTCAGCACTGGAACAAATTGAAAGGGAAGCATACGGAAAGCACCAGCATTCAAATACAAAAAGAATCATCGAAATCGGTAAGAAACATTAAAAAAGATACAGACGATTTGATAATCTCCTCTCTTTTAAAGTCGGTTAAAAATTTACAAAAATTTGATTCTGTTTTCAAGATTTCTGTAACAGCTTCGGATGAGTATCCAATTTGTATTTTAAATTTAAAATTAATTAATCATCGTCAAAAAAATGTTGTTAAGCCATTTCAAAATCAATTTGGCTGATTTATCCATTTGAAAGATTATATTATTATTATTGCCTTATGCCAATTAATATTGCTAATGCCTGTGATTCAACATAAGTCCAAAGTGTGAACAATGTTTGAAAAAATTATGTTAATTTTGTTTTGCTCGTCAGCGCACAATAAACTATGCAGATAGCAGCATAGAAATGTTTGTTCGCAGCCAGTCGCTGCAACCATCAATCAAAATTCATTATCAACTTGTTGTATATAAGAAGTATAATTGATGAAAAATAAACTTTTATTGTTTATATTTATGTGAGTATGTGTAAGCAACTATGGCTTGATTTTAGGCCAAGAAGCATTGAACAAAGTCCTATGCATCATCTTTATCGCCTGCATAAGGCCCATTGTGCCCAAGACGAGCTCACACATTAATTTCTACATTGTTTGTCATTTGTCTGTTGCAAAACAGCCGAGAAAATGTCAAAAGGCAGGCACAGATATAAATGAAGAAGCTACTACGTAAGAGTAAAGACCTGTAGTTGATAAATAAGCGACAAAAAAATAAAACTTTAAAAAACTGCAAACCGCGCCCTCCAAGGCAGTTGCGTGTGCTCCTACAACAAACATAAGTCGACATAGTGGCTGACCTCATGCCAAGTGGCCACTGGACAGTGGGCCAGATTGGAAATACATGAGCCTATGCCCACCAGGTAATGTTTCAAGTTATGGGTCAGACTGGAAGTAAGTCTATTGATCTGGCTTTCAACAAATTCACAAATTGTAAACGACATCTAAATAAACTAAATACGTACCTACATATGAAACACATTAGTACATATAATCAATTATAAAATTCTAAAATTAAATTCATAATATAAAATATTAAAAGAAAAAAAAGAAATTAAATAATAATACTTATAATAAAAATAGCTAAGGCTAAGGAAAATATAACAAAAAAAAAACAAACAAACAATAAATAATTGTAATGTTCAACGTCAAATAAAACTAAATTCAATTTGCAATTAAATTAAATTGCATTAAATTTGAAATAAATATGTAATGATTGGAGAAACAACAACTTGAAAGATAAACTTATATATAAATAAATAAGAAATAAATAAAATAAAAATTAAATTAATAAAAATAAATTATGTATTCAAGCAATTAGGCCGCATACGCTCTCGTAATAAAAATAAACTCCTTATTGATAAACATTTTCAAATGAAAAATATTAATTCTTCAATATATGGTATAAAGTATATTCATATATTTAATTCTTCAATCTAAGTATAAGTTTAAGTCTATAGCTAGTTTTTGTATTTAAAATATTTACTATTAGCTATTTGGGGATTGGTTTTAGTAATGCATTTGAAGAGTTTTAAAATATTCTCACATACTATATTCAAGAAATGCTAACTAATCAGGAAAAGGTAAGATATTATAGAAGTGAAGTAAATGTGCACATTTGCTCCATTTTTGGGAAATCGTTTTTACATTTAATTGTTTCATCAACTTATAGCATTTAATTCATGTATTTAAATAGTTTTAATTAAATTTGCAAGTAATTTAGAGACATTCTTTGCTTATCCAAAAAGCGTTTTAAATTAAACTAATTATAATAGAATGCATCGACAGAACTATTGTTGATTTACTAAATAAATATATAAATAAATAAAGAAATAAAGAAATAAAGAAATAAATAGAAAAATAATTAAATAAATAAATATTTTTATGTATAAATAAATAAATACAAAGCGAAATTAAAAATAAATAAAAATCTAGCAAATTTTAAATAAAGTTCGCCAAATTATTGCCAGCACTACTTTATTTAATATTTTGTTGGGGTCTTTTTATATCAAATATACAATTCAATAAAATACAAATTTCCTGTTTTATTGGCATTTTTATCAAAGATATTTATTTATTTATTTATGTCAACAAACATTGACTGTAGAAAAGCCTAAGAAGGAGAAATGTAATCAAATTACAATAATATCTAACTTTAATAATATTAGTATGTAGTGGACTTTTTTCGTAGTCAGGATAAAGCATTTGTTATTAAAACTAGGCTATATGGGAGAGCTTTTTGGGAGTAAGCGTTTCAGCAATTTATATTTATTATTTATTTCATCGTATTCCGGTAGCTCTAAAGAATAAAGTGCTTCGAAACAATAGCACAATATTTTTCAATATTTTCAATATTTTCTTCATAATCAATCTACAAGTATGTATCATTAGTTATCTTTCTGACCAATAAACAATGCTGGCTTCCCACAGTACACTGAGCAGCTCGTGCTGATTGCAACTATCGCGTTTCTTATTTGGCTTTTGATGCTGCTGGTGGTGCTCTTTAATGCGAATTTAATTTCTCATCATGGCGCACATCAATCACGTTTGATCCGTGAAGCAACACGCCTGGCTGTGCGCTTGTACAGTAGGTTCTAATAGCCTTGACCCATGGCGATGATAACATTTGATATAGCACAGCAAAACTGTTTAAATGCCGTCATCATGCTCAAGTCGGGGTAATTAATAGCAAAGGCAAATATTATTGGTAATAGGTATATAATATACATTGCACGAGTATTTTTGTATGCGAAGCCACAAACTGGTTATTGTTTGGCTAAAATCGAACTTGCAGTTAAGTTGTCAAGTATTTCAAATCTTTGACCAATCTGACATTTAAAAGATTGCCTAAATATTTATCTGTGGGCTTCTGGTGCGGAAGCATTTTGTCAGATACAGTTAATCGGGAATACTTAGAGATCCCGTAATTAGCATAATCTAATTGTTATATAACTCTGTTTGTTAACTTACCACATTATAGCGATTCATTTTATAGCCAAAATATATCGGCATGTTGGGATCGTAGGCAGCGAGCATGTAACGCAAGTTCTCCATAATAACGTATCTGTAGGCGAGAGTGTGAATATTTAAAAAGTTCTGCGACCTTCAATTAATAATTTGTTTATATATGCGTACAAAGAAATTAATTTGGACAAATGGAAATATATTTCAAAATCGTTCTGCTGTTAATATCTTTGTTTATTCTGTGTTATTGTGATTGTAATTAATGTTTAAACAAATCTTGTAGTCTTTAGCCAATAGTTTAATTCATAAATATACTGTTTTGGAATGACAGATTTAGAAATAATTAAGAAATTATTTATAAATGAAATATGAATAGGAAGATGATATTTTTAGGGTTTGATTTGACTATGCGGCTATATGAATCGCAAAGCTATCCTTATCCTTTTTATTTGCTAACTTTTTTAATAAATCAAAGCTCTGGCATTGCTATATAGTTCAGATAGGCGAACAAAAACCAATGAAAACCTTATAAATATTTGTTTTTGTTTTAGCGTACTTGTAATATGAAACAAAAATCAAACCCTTTGCCAATCATAAGGGGGAATGATCAGAAAATAGTAGACATATATCTACGTTTTAATTATTTAGAAAAAGCAGGCAGTATATTGCTATATAGTTCTATAGTTCAGATAGGCCAACAAAAACAAAGACAAATTTAATAAATATTTGTTATTTATATTTTTAGCGTACATTGTAAAATGAAATAAAAATCCAACTTTGCCAGTCGTGTGATAAGAAAGGCTTTATGTGGGAATGATCAGAAAATAGCAGAGATATATCTAGCAGTGGAAAAGCATACGTTTTAAAAAGTAGTCAGTATATTGCTATATAGTTCTATAGTTCAGATAGGCCAACAAAAATAAAGAAAGCTTTCTAAAAATTTGTTATTTGTTACTTGTTATTTGCAGTGAAAATCAAACTCTTTGCCAGTCGTATGATAAGAAAAGCTTTATTTAAATGGCAATAAATCAGAAAATATTAGCGATATATAGAGATATAATAGCGTATAGCTTTAAAAAGTAAGCTGTAGTCTGTGCTATGCAAAAATACAATTAAATCAAATGAATATAGAATTCCTTCTTTTTTAGTTTTAAAAGTGTTTTCAACTCACGTATCGTCATCGGCCTTTATAAACCAATCGTACTGCCCGCCATATGTCTCATACACATGTCGGAAGCCCTCCCGCGTCTTATTCCACAGATTGTCGTAGGCATCAGCTTCTGGTTCTATCACCCGCACCACGCCCAACGACTCATTGTGCTCGCTGCTGACAAAAACCAATTTGGTGCAACGCTGCCCCCATGTTGCACGAACATGCTGGGCGTAGCGTTCTATATAATCCGGGCAGGTCAGAACCATGCAGAGAATACGCAACTGGCGCTGTAGGCCCAATGCTAAGTTCGGCCTCTGTTGATTCAGTTTCAGGGTAACGGCTGTTGCCGGCAGTGTGGAGCTGGGCCAACAGGGCGGATTGTGTACATCGTAGACGCAGAGCAGCAGTACAAAGGAGCAGACAAAGCCGGCAATGAAGCCGCAGAGCAAGTGTAGCTGTCCTTGCAACAAACGCGACGAGGTTGCAGGCACCGATCCCATGGTGAGGATTTTCCGAGCACCTTGCCGTTCGCAGTTGGCCGTGCGTGTTTATTGAGCCGCCAGTTGAGACTAAACGCTGGCGCTGCAGGTGGATGAGCTCAAGCTATAGCTCTTGGGCGTTCTTCTGAGCTGCGGCTTCCGCTGCCACTGCCGTGGCTAATTTTTTATTGCTGCCGTGTTTTCGTTTTGTTTCGTTTCGTTTTGCTTTGTTTTGTTTTGTTTCGTTTTGCTTTGTTTTGTTTTGATCGCACGACGCAACTTTCAACCGGTTTGCTGCCACCGCCGCCGCCACACCAGCCAGCTGCTTCTTATTTTTGTCGGCTGGGTGTTATTTTCTTTTATCATCTGAATATCAGTCATATTTTTCAAAGCTCTATGTTTCAGTTTTGCTGAAAAAATTATAAAGGTGAGAAGACACTTCTGTGAATGAAAACCTCTAGCCTGGGTTACATTTTATTTTTTTCTTAATTTTACAGTTCGTCAAGCTATGCCCCGAGATTTGCCCGAAGATATGTATAAAGAACAGCTTTTATAGAATGGAGGGAGAGAGAGAGAGACAGTTCTATCGGAAGTAAATGTGAAAGATCATTATAATTAGCACAAAAGAATCGAGATTGCATCTAGACAAGTTAAGTGGAAAATAGTTTCATGCTGTTCTACTATGAACTGAAAAGTTAAGTCGACCTAAGAGGGCAGAGGAGTCTAACCAGCTCGTGGAGAAAATCGACTCCAAGAACAGTCCTGCGAACTGTTGATGAAGGAAGTTCGATTTTGAATCAAAAAGAACGACAATCTCTTCAACAGTCAATACACGCTGCAATTATATACGTGACTAAATGTAGAACTGACCGATTTAGATGAAATTTAAGCCAGAAGTATAGTATATACTTGTAATTAATTATAGATTACGTCTAAAAAGTTTGATTGATGTAGCTTTCGAAATGTGGACAGTATTGAGGAAATTCTGTAGCGGTGGAAGGGGAGGGGGAATTCTGGATAGACCTAGGATGCTCTGGCTATACATATACTTTTATATGTATCAAATTTTGTGATTCAAGATTAATTCTAAGTTACGAATGTTAAAATAAATAATAATAATTAATTAAATAACTTCAGTATTCTAGCTTTTATGGTTTTGAGATCCTTGAGATCTTTGAGATCCTCCAGACGAGTATGAAAGCAATTATTATTATAATAATTTCATATGTATCAAATTTTGTGATTCAAGATTAATTCTAAGTTATAAATGTAAAAATAAATAAGAAGAAACAAATAAATAACTTCGGTATTCTAGCTTTTATGGTTTTGAGATCCTTGAGATCTTTGAGATCCTCCAGACGGACGGACGGGTATGAAAACAATCATTATTATAATAATTTCATATGTATCAAATTTTGTGATTCAAAATTAATTCTAAGTTACAAATGTAAAAATAAATAAGAAGAAATAAATAAATAACTTTGGTATTCTAGCTTTTATAGTTTTTGAGATCCTCGCGTTCATCCAGACGGACAGACGGGTATGAAAAAAATTATTTAGAATTATATTACAATGTACTTTGGAAGCGATTATGTCATAGTCACTATATTAAATAATGAATAAACTTGTTCAATGTTGTCGATATTCTTTAAGCCGAACTTTAATCGGAACTTTAATTTTAAAGTAATCTTCGCCAATCTAATTAATATTATTTATATGCGAAATGAAACGTGAAAGGTGAATAGCAGTACTCGTATTATTCCCTTCACCTTGTCATATCATCACACGGTATTGTGTTTAGTCACATCCGCTGCATGTTTAGTTCTGATATTACATTTGATTTGATTTATTATTATTTCAATTTTGCGTTTTCGAAGTCGTCCGCACGCTTACTCAGCACTTTTTGGTCTTCAAATTCGAAACGAAAGCATGAACGCGTATCCACATTTTGTCGCATTATTTGTGCGCCCCCAAACTCAAAATTGTATAACGGTAGCAATACAATAATGTACAATTGGAGCAGCATTAAGTAATGCGAGTGGCTCGAAATTGATGCCACCGACTATAAAAACGCCGGCCAGTGTCTCTTAAAAGTGCAGTTAGTCGAACAATTCGAGTGCGTGAACAATTCCAACAATTCAGAGCTAAAGGATAACCAACATGTTTGCTAAGGTAAGGAAGCGAAAGAGCGACAAACTAAGGATATGCAAAGGATAGGACTTGATGGTCTGAAGAGTTTTTCTGCAAAACACAGATGCTTACTTTTTTTTTATTAAATAACTATTTAAGTCGCAGACGTGTAGTTGTTTTTTTAGGGCTTGATATTCTAAAGAGTTTTTCCTACACAGCACAAATGCTTAAATTTTTTTTCATTAACTAACTATCTTAGTCGAACTATCTTAGTCGAAGTTGTTATTTTAGAGCTTGAAGTTCTGCAGAGTTTTTCGACAAAACACAGATGCTTACATTTTTTTTCATTAGCTAACTATCTTAGTCGAACTAACTTAGTCGAAGTTGTTATTTTAGAGCTTGATATTCCACAGAGTTTTTCCTACTCAGCACAAATGCTTACATTTTTTTTTATTAACTAACTATTTTGGTCGCTGTTTATTTACATGTTTCAGCTCATAACCAGAGATCGTTAACTTGAAAGCATTGTTTATTTTATGGAAACTATAATTCCATAACAAGTTTTTTACATTCATATTCAAAATCTGTTGATACGCCCTTTTCATATATGCTACTTGTACTTATCTGTTGTGATCTGTCGCTTTGAAGACTCAATACTAGTTCCTCCGTCTTTATTTTATTCATTAAATATTTATGTAGCTTCTACTTGCGTTCGCAATTCTTGGCGCTGTGCGTGCTGGAGACTACGAGTATAACAACAACAACAACAATAATAATAACAGCAACAACAATGAAAAGTCCATTGCCACAACACTGCCACCGGTGGCCGTGAATCAGCAGTTGGACCAACAAGCATCCAGCAGCAACGATAACTATCTAAACGGCTACAATTCGCAGCAGACACCAGAGGGTTACGATTACGTGAGACCACAAGCCCGGAAATTGTCTGCAGGCGCCAATGGCATCGCAAAGAGCGACAACACTGCTCATGACAATAGTAATGGCAATGGCAACACTGCTGGCTCATCCGCAGTTCCTGCCCCCTTGTTGCCCGTTCCATTGCCGATCCTGCGGCAACACAACCCCGAATACTATCCACCCGCCTCGTACAGCTTCAACTATGCGGTCCATGATGAGCTAACCGGGGACATTAAGGAGCACAGTGAGACGCGCGATGGTTACTTGGTTCGCGGTTCCTACAGCCTTGTCGATCCCGATGGCTACAAGCGCACAGTCACTTACACAGCCGATGATGTGCACGGCTTCAATGCGGTTGTGAATCGGGTGCCCTACGCCCTCAAGCCCGTCGCAGTGGCGCCTCTGGCTCTGGACGAGCGCTCCGCATCGAATGTGGCACTCTTGAAGAGCGTGGCCGTCGCAGAAGCGACTCAGCAGCAGAAGCAACTGGAGAATGGCGCACACTCCTCCTCCACGGACTATGTGGCGACAGCCGCGGGTGCGAGTGCCGGAGCTGTTGCCAATTCGGGGGACAGCTATGCGTTGGCACCACGTGGTCGCGACTCTGCTGGCGGTCCCTATGCTTGAGTGCTAATAGTATTTTTGTTTCTGCTTATATATTTTATATTAGTCTTTCACATATATCTAGTATTGTAAATTAAAACTCTCTTGCAAACTTTATTTTTCTGTTTTTCAATAACGAGCGACAATAAATGAGCGACACATGATATCTGTAGTTGGGTCATAACAGGGAAGGAATTGTGGATACATTTATGAAGAAGAAGAATTCTTTTTGAAACAGCCACAACTATTAAACTGGTTCTACATAAAAAATGAAAAAAAAAAAAAAAAATTAATATAAATAATGTAAATAATATAGATAATATAAATAATATAAATAATGTCGATGATATAAATAATATATATAATATAGATAATATATAATACAGATTATATAGATAATATAGATAATATAGATAATATAGATACTATAGATACTATAGTTGCTATAGATAACATCGATAATATAGATAATGTAAATAATATAAATAATATAAATAATTTAAATAATATAAATCATATAAATAATATAAATAATATAAATAATATAAATAATATAAATAGTATAAATAATATAAATAATATAAATAATATAAATAATATAAATAATATAAATAATATAAATAATATAAATAATATAAATAATATAGATAATGTAAATAATATGGATAATATAATTAATATTTATATTAAATAATATAATATATAATAAAAAATATAAATAATGTAAGAATAAAAATAATAAAAATCATATAAATAATACAAATAGTATGACAAATCAATGAAATGATAATAACAGTTAGAGGTCGAGTTGATCTTCTATATAATAGGAAAGAGCAACCTTTTCGTTCTGCATGGAATACCTAATGCATATAAGTACATACTTACTATATAAAAATACTGGAAAAGACTATAAATTCTTTGCAGAAATCGAACAATTATATTCTTAAATAGATCTAAAAAAAAGTTAGAATTAATTTCAGCAACACTTGAAAAAAAATCAGAAAACAATGTTGTAAATAAGAAAATGTTCTCTGGGCGTTGTGTTTTTAATTTATTAGTTAGTATTACATCATACTTTTATTAAGTATTGTAGATAAAGTAAATGACATGCTTACAAATTATTATTATTTTATTTTATTTAAAAATTTGTACTATATTTGATTAAACAGGTGCGAACAGGTGAAAATAATTTATTTCTTTATAGCATACTTTAAGGCGCTGCATTTGTAAAGCTTCTTGTGCATATCTTAGCTAGAGCTTTGGTAAAAAGTCACTTGTATTACCAATTTCAGTTCGGAATGTGCTTTTCTAACAGACACATATTTGTGTTTGGTTAAAAAGCGGATTCACTGCCGGTTGTCGAAGTTAAGCTCAGTCTCGAATACGTCATATAGTATTTGTTTAATAAATAAATAGAAACAGTTAAACAATTGCTGTAAGTCGTGAGAATTTATCTGTTAACAAGTGAAGAAAGCAAGTTGAGGTGCAGTTTTCTGTATTGGCCGTAGAGCAACGACCTGTGACCAAGTCAAGCGGAATACACGCCGATGCGACGTTTCTTGCATTTTAAAGACCCAGAGACAAACGTGAAATGTCAAACTACAATTTAATGTGCGAGTACATAGTACTATACATACGTGAATAGAGCTAGGCTGTAAATGGGCGAACTAAGCAATACACATTTTAACCATTAACAACTGCTCTTTTTTTTCGGCGTGAACAAAGCCTATGTTCACATGATTCCAATCCGATTATGGTTACATATGCAAAAATACACATTCACATTCACTTTCTAATTTTTTCTCATCAGCAGCAGCAAAAAAAAAAAGAAAAGAATTGTTCATACATAATGAATATATCATATCGCTCAGCTATCTCTTGTGATGGGAATTTAAGTTTTCAAAAACTGATATAATGGAAAACTTGAGTATTAGAAAATATTTTAAGACAATAGTCATACAAGTACTTAATGTTCACATTTATATTTGCAACAAATTTAAAACAACTATTTATTATAACTTTATATTATTAGTCACACTTTATGTTCACATTTATATTTGCAACAAATTTAAAACAACTATTTATTATAACTATAAATTATTTCAAACTATTTATTTCGCTCTTTACATTGGCAATGAATTCAACTCTACAGTTCGCGCCAATCTAGAAAACGCATTTCGGTAATTTCAAAATGTTTCGTGTAAACATAGCTTTAACATTTTGTACGATCCGGCAACGCTTTGGCAACTGTCAGCTGCGGCATCCGTTGTGATCCGCACTCAAGTCCGTCAATGTAAGCCTGACAGCGCGCGAGATCGGTTGTGTTTCTTACGCAGAGTTGAAAAATTGTTATTCGTTTGATTTCTTTGACATATTTCTCTCGTTACGCGTTGTCTCTTTTTTGTTAACGCTTTTAATATGTTGTGTGAGAAGGTGTGTATTTTATACGCATGTCAATAAAACAAACAGACAAAGGATCTCAAGATCTTTTCAAAACATATACGTATATAGCTGAAGACATTTGGAAGAAAAAGCAGCAGTTTTTTTAGTGCTGGCCAAATCAATTGCAACGCTTCATCAGTTGTGAAGCAGTAAATTGTTAAGTAATTGCAAATCACATTTAAAAATATTATTTCAAGAGGCGCAGTAACAAGTTATTGTGGAGTCTTCGCTGGTCTCTCGCGCCGCGTCGCAACGAAGGTCAACCGCATAGCCCGGCTTACAAGTTGTTTTTTGTTGTTGTGTATAATTTTTCTGTATTTTCTTTTTATTTTTCTGTCGTTCGACTGCCACGTCATCGCACAGGAATGTGTTAATTTGGTATTTCAACAACAAGAAACATCAGAAACATCATTGAGCCGTTTGACGACCGGCCACGGTATTATTTCATTTGCATAAAAAAGTAAACAACACGCATGCTCATTGATTCAATATTGTCAAGTGTTCCGCTTCGTGTTTGTGTGAATGACAATCTAGAAACCTGTATGTAACCAAAATTTCATTTAGATATAACCTTTTAGTGAATCGAAACTACACTCTTGAATGAAACACATGTATAGTTCTAAATAATTACACGCGAGCAAAGTGGGAGAAATTAAAATCTATTAGAAATACAAATCTAAACATTTCCGGACTATATCAATGAGGTAGAGATACGTATCTGGCGAACTATTGATTTGTGAGCTGTGAGCTGCAAAGTTTGACATTCTTATCATAAACTTCTGCCGAATGTTTTCTCATTTGCGCGAGTTGTGTTGCTTTAGAGAAAGAGAATTGACTTATTAAATTATTCTTAAATTATTTAATTAAATTATTCCGATTATTCCGGAAAACCCTTTCAAGAATCGATTGCCTCGGTTCCACAAGCATTTATTGATAAAATGGAATGTCGGTACAAACACTCTTCTTCTATATTCGAACAGAAAAACAAGTTGGACTCTTTTCTTTCTATTAAATATAATAAATATAGGCTAGAACTTCGGAACGAAGTGGTCACCTGGGAGAGTATGTTAATGGCTATAACTTTATCTAAACTCGATCCATTTGGTTGAAAATTAACGCGAACAGCAGTTCACAGTTAGAGAATTCCAAAAACCATGAGAAATAAGGAATAAAACAAACAAATTTCTCCCTAGTTTCCTTTCCCCAGCCTGCATATGAACTGGGGGTTTTCTAGCTCTAATACTTTTTGAAATTCTTGGGTTCAAGTACACATTAAAAAGTAAGGATGATATATGGCCTCGTTCTGGGTGTTTCAAAAACGAAAATATTTCATTTAATGCGACTAGCACATCCCTTATGGGGTTTACTTCACAGTAATTATTAGATTGTTATTGTAGAATTAAGGGAAGGAATGTGCTACAGGAAGAAGGAAGAATCTGCTGCCTGCTTTCAGTATATATGTACTTTTATATACATATATAGATTTGTAATCAGACATGTCCAGACATGTTCAGACATCAATCTGTTTGGATGAAAGCCTAGATTTCGATACCGGCGTACCTTACATTAAATAATCTTTATATGTAGATACTTATTGCCTCTAGGCAGATACTTCTAGTCTCTACAGAGTTGCGTCAAAATTATTCACAATTGTAAGAAAAACATAATCCAAACTGTTCATGTAATTTGGACAAATGTAAATCTCTACTTCTTCAGTTACGAAATAAGTTTAAAAACTATTTTAAAGCACGTGTGTTCAAAATAAGAAATCCCTGATATGTTTTCTAATCTCTTGAGCATAAAATCAGAACAATCTGCCACCTCTCTGATTACTCTTCTATCCACACTATAATCTTCTATTTACTTGCTTTGTCTTTGCAGTAAATCTCGAATTTCTTAAGCAGAGCCCAAGTCCCAAGAATGAAATTCCTATGGCCGCAACGCGCGCGTCTCGAATTGCTGCTCACCTTCCTAACGGGTCTGATCTGGGGATTCTGCCTCTCACATCTGTTGCGGCGAGAACGCTGGCAATTGGTCGATCCAGATGGCGGTCTGGGTCGCATAGTTTGCGGAACAACTCAGGCCAGAATTATGTCAACACCGACCGTGCACTTGACCGTGCAGTATGATCAAAGGAAAAAGCAGCAGAAAGCCGCAGCCTTAGGCACCAAATTGTTTAACGAGACGAGAGTGCTGTGCATGGTCCTGACAAATCCGCAAATGCATAAAAATCGTGCTCTGCACGTGAAACGGACGTGGGGCACGCGATGCAATAAACTGTTATTCATGAGCACCAAAGTGGAGAAGGATCTGCCTATTGTGGCTCTAAATGTGACGGAGGGCTACAGCCAACGATGGGGCAAGACGCGTGAGAGCTTTCAATATGTTTACAAAAATTACTTCAATGAATACGACTGGTTCCTCAAGGTGGATGATGATACGTAAGAGTGTTAAATAGAAAAAAGAATTCTTTTAAAGTCTCTTTCAATTTCAGTTTTGTGGTGATGGAAAATTTGCGGGCGTTTCTTTACGCCTATACACCCACAGTCCCTGTTTATTTTGGGAGTAAATTTCGCTCAAAGAATAAAATAGTAAGACAAATCTTTAAATATCTGTCAATATCTTTTATTTGTCTTTTATTTAAACACTTCAAGAAATCTCTCAACTCTCAAATTAAATATTGCATAACTATTTCCATAATTTATACAACGCCTCATTTAAATACTTAATTATATTATTATTCAAATACCTAATTCTTTCTTGCAGGCCTACATGTCAAGCGGTGCCGGCTACGTCTTAAGCAAGATGGCCCTGAAGCTGTTCGCAACCCGGGCCTATGGCAATGGCAGACTTTGCAGAAATCAGAGCTATGGCAATCCCGATGTTGAGCTGGGTCGCTGTTTAAAGAATGTCGGCGTAGTCGCGGGCGATTCTCGTGATGAACGCGGCATCGAGCGCTTCTTCCCCTTCTCAACGCTACAAGGATTTCAATATCATACTATCGGGCTCAACATCTCATCCAAAAAAACTGCACAGCTGGTAAGATATAAACAATGATGAATGATTTAAGATATAACCAACAACTTCCTTGCTTTCAGAAATCGTGCTGCTCCGAATCGGCCATCTCATTCCATCAGGTCCCCTCCTTTTATGTACTGGAGTATATTATATATAAGTTACACGCGTTCGGACTACCTCAGCCCCTGGAGATATTGCCCAAGAAAATATCAGTGGTAGACATATTGAAAAAATAGCGTGTCGACTAGTCCGACTTTCTTTGCAACCCAAATTCGACTGCAAACCATGCCAAATAATAATATTGTTCATCCTAAAGTTAAGAATATCCTTAATTTTAATCCTAGCTCATTAAAGTAACAATTGCACGAATAAACTGCTTTTGCAATATTGCAACATTTTAAATGTTAGGATGTGACTGAATTGGTTTATATTTTATTTTAAATATTACAAATATATTCGAGACAGCTTTTGTGCTTTATTTGGCAAGAAGTTTCTTTATATATTAAGGAGGATATTTAAGTGAATTGAATATTTTGTGTTGACAAACCACTAAACAACTCTTTCACTCAATTCTTGTTCACTTTTTGCTCTAAGCCTTGAAATTGTGCGCTTTTTGTTTATTTTTTTTTATACTCAAGTAAAGTTAAGTTTTAACAGACAAAGCGTCTTAGGGAAAAAAATCAATTGGAAACAAGAAAATCATTTTTCACGCTGCCAATTGCCAATCAATTGCAACGCTTCATCAGTTTCGAATAAGTAATTGCAAATCACATTTAAAAATAAAATGTAGTGAGGCGAAGCAGCAAGGTTTTTCCTAGTCTTCTTGCTGTTTTTACACATATTTTTTTTGGAATTCCTGTCTTGGTAATATAAAAATTGTGAATTATTTGTGTACAAGGGCGGGTGACAAATAAAGTTTGGGAATTAATAACATTCTGACTGAATGATTTGTGAGCAAAGTACAACCGAAACGGAGAAAGATAGAAGCGGAATCGCAACAGTATTTTACTTTATACGCATATAGTATTCGTGCACTTTATACAAATATCAAATATGGGCTGCAAATTCTCATTGAAAAAAAACGCAAAAAGAAACACTGCAGCTTTATGCCACATTTGCCAAAAAGCTGAAAAGCAAAAAGTTGCTGGTAGAGCTCCCCCAATTCACTTCCTATCTGGAAATCACCAAACTGTATCTAAATAAACCAAATTCGTTTTGGAAGAATGCATTCTTTAGTGTCGAATACAAATAAAATATTTGAACAATACAATGTTTTTTGAAAGCCAATTCAAGTGCGAGTGCCACATAACAAACGTTTCCGTTCGTGGGTCACAAAAATAATAATATTACTGACCATGAAATAATATCTCTAAAAAAACTGACTGATCTGTTTTATGAAAAAAAAGAAACATGCTAAAAATTCATCAATACAATTAAAGCTATATCTGATCTGGTGGGAGCATCAAAGCTACTTTTAAGATGAATATCCATTAAATAAACAAAAAACATTTAAAGCTATATCTGATTTGGTGATCGTCAAAACTTTTAAGATAAATATTCAATAAATAAACAATTAAAGCTATATCTGATCTGATGATCATCAAAACTTTTAAGATAATTATTCAATAAATAAACAATTAAAGCTATATCTGATCTGATGATCATCAAAACTCTTAAGACAAATATTCAATAAATAAACAATTAAAGCTATATCTGATCTGATGATCATCCAAACTCTTAAGATAAATATTCAATAAATAAACAATTAAAGCTATATCTGATCTGATGATCATCAAAACTTTTAAGATAATTATTCAACAAATAAACAATTAAAGCTATATCTGATTTGATGATCATCAAAATTATTAAGATAAATATTCAATAAATAAACAATTAAAGCTATATCTGATCTGACGATCATCAAAACTTTTAAGATGAATATTCATTAAATAAACAGTTTTTATTTTCCAAAATTTCTCAACTCTCGATTTAAATGTGTTTATAGAAACTCGCAAGCTTGAGTTGCAATTATGAAGATCTCCTGGTTGAAACGCAAAATTCTGGTATTCTTGCTCACCTTCCTGGTCGGTTGGTTCTTGGGCTATAGCCTCTCACAGATAACGCTGCAATCCTGTTGGCCATCAGTCGATCCAGATATGAAGAGTGGCTCAAGTGCTCAAGCGAGTCATGGGAATGGCAACAACAATCCAGGCGATGAGGACCTACCGCTAGCCACCAAGTTGTATAAGGAGACGAGAGTGCTGTGCATCGTCCTGACGAGTCCGGAAAGGCATCAGAGCCGTGCATTGCACGTGAAACGGACGTGGGGCGCGCGATGCAACAAATTGTTATTCATGAGCACCGCAGAGGACGAGATCCTTCCCACTGTGGTGCTAGACATGCCGGACGGACATTCAAACTCATGGAGCCAGACGCGCGAGAGTTTGCGACATGTTTACGACAATTACTTTGGGGAGTTCGACTGGTTTCTCAAGGCGGATGATGACACGTAAGTCGGTTGTGCACAGACTTGGATGTGTATACTTAGTTCAAGAATTTGGCATTTGCAGATATGTGGTTATGGAAAATTTGCGTGCTTTTCTCTATGCCTACACACCAAGCAAGCCCATTTATTTTGGTACTATACTCAACTGGAAAGATTCAAATGTAAGTGAATGAGTTGAAATTTAAGCATATCATTTTTTCATAGGAAAAGCCAGGATTCTTAAGCCAAGTCTAGTCTTTAGTGTAGGATTTTAACCTACGACAGTCACATAATTCTAATTCCGGCATATTCAGAGTGATTGCTATATAGCTGAGAAACTGACTTGCTGATAAATATATAGCTTCATCTGGGGAGGCATCATTATAACCGAAAAATATGCCTTACCTTCATTTGAAAACCATTACAGGTTTTTAATTTCGCATTAACTATTCCAAAACGATTTTAAAGAGAACTAAGAACTTAGGAAGTAAGTGTTTTGTGATTTTTAAATAGCTATGAAGTTAAATTTTCGTTGCTTAAGATACATACTATACACTTATATGTATTTTGTCATTCGCGTTCTACAAATGGGTATAACATCAGCATTCTTCTTTTTATACATGAGACCATTCTTACAGAATTTTTTGTGCAACGAACTCACATATTGCGATTTCTATGAGCTGGTTGAGAAATGCTAAGCCCTTTCCAACTTTCTCGTCATTAAATTTGGCTACAATACTTGTATATTAACAATTAAAAGTTGGTCATAGATAAACTCTTTCTTAGTCACCAATACAGCTAGATTATATAGTGATATATCATTGTTGACTTCCACTTATGTGTATTCGTTTAAAAAAAGAATGCTCGGTGTTTCTTTAGTTTTTAACTTCGCTTCGAATTCGTATCAGATGTCTTTTATAAATACAACCTATATATATCTATATTACTTGCCAATTGCCTAATCAAATTTCTAATTCTTCTATGTAGAATCTTATTTTAGGCGGCTCTGGCTACGTGTTGAGCAAGTCGGCTCTTGTGCGTTTCGCCACTCAAGCCTATTTTAATGACAGTATCTGTAAAATAGATATCAGCGGCTTTGAGAACATCGAAATGGGTCACTGTTTGAATAATGTTGGTGTAATGCCTGGCGATTCTCATGATGAACGCGGCATAGAGCTCTTCTCCCCCATGCCAGCCTCATTTAATGAAGCCAATAAGTTTTCAAATGAGTCCGGCCATACTGCACCGAGTGTAAGATTGAATTCTGACCAATGTTTTTATTCTTATAACCCATAACATTTCCTTACAGAAAACGTGCTGCTCCGAATCTGCAATATCATTTCATTATGTCGAACCCATTTATTTTTATATACTGGACTTTTTTCTATATAAGCTACATCTATTTGGTTCCCCACCAATACAGGAGAGCTTGCCGGAAAAGAAAGGAATCGGAGATTTAGTAAAGAGCTGGGGAGACTGGTCTGAGGATTTAAAAACAAATTAATACGTATAAACTTACATACTATAAATATAGTGTAACACTATATGAACCTTATATTGGTTTTTAATAATACAATACAAATAAAATTAATAGAAAATATATATGAAATAGCGCTAGATGCTTATTTAAGATATATGTAGTACTTGGGGCCACATTTCTCTATGTTATTTGGAAAGATTATTACAATCATTTTTGTAAATTTCTAAGAAGAAGGCTAAATTTTTCTGCAGCACAGATATGTTACGTGTGGACCTGAATAGAAATTCCTGCTTGGTTTTCAAACTTTAAAACATACATTTATATACATATTCGATCCGCCGATTTGGTCGATCTGATAACCCTTTCACAGTTATGCAGTGAGAGAGACAGTCAGACTTTTGTTTTATTTTCAGAATATAAGCATATTTTTTGAAAGTTTTATTCTATATACTTCTATAAATAAATAAGAAAACCTTAAAAAAGAACGCTTACAATAAAACAACAGCAACTGGCATACATAACATAAATTAATGAATTTCAACGCTTCGTCAATTCTTCTCGGTAGATTAAGGTAGTAATTGCAAATTAGAAATACCAGTATCTCTTAAAAAGGCGTATCATTAAGTTATTTTAGTCTCTCAGATCACAATAAAGGTCTGCCATACAAGTTTATTGAAGATGTGCTTTATACATATTTACGTATTTATTTTATCGAATTGCCTGATCCCGTTATAATCATTAAATAGATTAAGTATTGAGTCAGGTAACTACACCTTTCTCAGGCTTATCTTAACGTTTCACTCAAGTTTGTTCATGCTCTCTTAGATCGATATTGATGCAGGCAGCAACCTATTCGATTCCACTGCAGAGTTATATTTTGTCGACTTCATTCCAAAAATGAACATCTTCCGGCGGAAGCGCAAAGTTCTGGTATTCTTGTTCACCTTCCTGATGGGCACACTTCTGGGCTTTAGTCTCTCACAGATGATGCTGCAATCGTGTTGGCACTCAGATGATAATGCCGGACACCCCACCAGCATGGCCAGATATGCCGAACACCTAACTGTGCAGACTGGAATCAACAATCCCGCCGATGAGGACCCACCGCTAGCCACCAAGTTGTATAAGGAGACGAAGGTGCTGTGCATGATCCTGACGAGTCCGAAATCGCATCAGAGCCGTGCTCTGCACGTGAAGAGGACGTGGGGCGCACGATGCAACAAATTGCTATTCATGAGCACAAAAACGGACAAGGATCTGCCCATTGTGGCTCTAAACGTGACGGAGGGTTATTGGAGCCTATGGGGCAAGACGCGAGAGAGTTTTAGATATGTTTACGAGCGTTATTTTAGGGACTATGACTGGTTCCTGAAGGCAGATGATGACACGTTAGTAAGTTGCCTGAGGCACTAAAGCTCAATATAGAATTTGAATATTTGCAGATATGTGGTTGTGGAAAATTTGCGTGCTTTTCTCTATGCCTATACCGCAAGGGCGCCCGTATACTTTGGCAAGAAATTGAGAAACAAACAAACGGTATGGTTTTTTTCGATATACTTTAGACTATTAACTTAAGGCTCGCTTACTTCTTCAGCAAGACACTCAATCACTATTTCAAATAGTGTTTGCATAAGTCTGACTATCTTTATGATCAAGCCAATCCAGTTCCTCGGTTATTCTAATGAGAATTATTTTAAATTCGAAAATATTATTTCTTAATACGAAAAGGCGGCGCTGCCTTGACAATTGTCTAGCTTATAGCCAGATGTATGGAAGATATTGAAATCAGCAAGGATCAGGGAGGATATGGGTGTGTTAAATAAGAAAGTTGGATACTCAAATGGCCTGTTGTAGAAAAAAGGAGAGAGAGGGAAAAGAGAGTTCTTAAAAAGGATGTTCAGACTCAAAGTCTCGAAGATTGCGTTGCTTTTTTTCTGATTGTTAACTAACTAGAGAACGTTTGGGGATTTTTATAGTATATTAACTTGTAGTATATTAATTTGTAGTATATTAATTTGTAGTATATTAATTTTTATTATTTTAAATTTATGTGATCCAAAGGATAATAAAATTATTTAAATTATGCAACATTCTGATGTAAGCGATATATTTACCTTATGATAATCTTTTTTCTGCACGAGCTTAGAAAAATTGCAGATTTATTTGGGCATATATATCACCAAAAATATGGTAAGATATACGTACATACAGCTATGTGGACAAACTCTAGAGAGTTTCTTAGTTTTAGGTTATTTAATCGTAATTTCCTAAAGACAAGCAAAGTCATCCCTTTTTAAGGCAACACTACACGCACCAATTAGTCAGTAGTTGAGTCAGAACCACCTGTTTTATATACGCCTATATACATATACGCTAAAGATTGTCCATTTGTTAGTTTAAATGATTATGATTATGAAATTATCAGTTGATCTTGAGCAGAGAGAACATGCAACATAATTCGACATATGTGCGTAACAAAACCTAAGCTTAGCTATGTATTCAATTTATATATAAATACTTGTAGTACTAACAAAATCGTTTTATTTACTCTTCTATGTAGATGTACATGTCAGGTGGTGCTGGCTATGTGTTGAGCAAGGCGGCTTTGGAGCGTTTCGTCACTAAGGCCTATCGAAATGGCAGTATTTGTAAAAACACGAAAACGGGCTTTGAGGACCTCGAACTGGGTCGCTGCCTAAGGAATGTTGGTGTCGTGAGAGGATCTTCACTTAACAAGCAAGGCGTTCAGCTCTTCCAACCCTTCCCACCCACGCGTCGTGATATTTCGTGGCATAGTCGCAAATTCTGTTGCCCCGAGCTTGTGATTTCATTTCATTACAGCAAGCCCAGTGATTTTTATGTCCTGGACTACGCCATTTATAAGCTATGGCCGTTTGGCTTGCCTCGGCGGACGGAGGAATTACCGGAGAAAAAACAAATGCTAGACATTTTAAGAAAGTGGAGAGAAGACGACGATAGAATGTAGAATGCAACTGCCAAACACATACCAAAAAATACTTCTGCTAAACCTAGAATAAATAAATTGTTGAAATTTAACTTGACATTTAAAAATTAAGCATCAACTCTGTTGTTTGATTAAAAAGCTTAAAAGAGTTTCTTCTGTAGATGTTCCATTGTGTTATCGCTTCCAGATTAGAGTAAAACCCTTGACCACCTTTTGGACGCAATGGTTGACATTAAAGAGCCTCACATTATCGGATGACTTTAAAGCTTCAAGTCTAAAGCCTCCTTAACTGCGTCAGAAAATTGTCAATTATTTATCTCTTCTCGGTACCTCTCATCTGCTTCCATGCCTCACAGATTATAGCTTCACAAGGCAGGATAGATCTATGCCAGATCTATCTAGAGGCAATTGTTGAGTTATTGGAAAGTTCTCCATTAGCTTTCTTCGGTGTTCTCTTCATTTTTGTTGTTTAAACTCTCTACTAAGGCCTCTTTGTAGCTGCAGCATTGCCTCTTCTTTCAAATACTTTTATTTTAATAAATTAAATCAAGTATTTAATACTAAACTTAATATAAGATTAACGAGTGCTAGCTACTGGGGCATTTTTTGTAGTCATTCTGCAAGATTAGATTTGAGATTTAATTGCAGAACCGTTTTCATCTCGTTTAGTGTTTTAAGCTATCGTACCAGAGCTCCTTTTTTTAAATCGAGCAACTATATCATTTCAGATATCGGTAAAAATTAGTTCACTTAAATAATACCAAATAGAAAATTTCCAAACAATATGCTTCTTTCAATCTTCGCTTTTCTCTATACTTGAAACATCTTCGTCTGAATAAACTTGCTTTGAATTAGTTTTCTTAATCGATTTTTGCAACTCTCGCAATTCCTTCCTCTTTAACGCTATTTCTTTCTTAATATCAACAATCAAGGGGTTTTGTGTTGGCAGAACCGGTACTGGGATTTTCTTGGTCACCCTATCTTCATCATCTTTCGAGTCCTCGTCGCTGGCAGCTGGAGTCTCAATAGGTGGCGGCAAAAACTCTCCTACCTTTAGTTTCTCAGGTAGGTGCTCCAGGGTACGCTGTATGCCGTAAGGCTTCAAATGGTATATCAAATAATCCAGCACGTACATCAGATTCGGCGAGACATAGTGAAAGGATATGGCCAAGTCGGAGCAGCAGTCGAGGCCCTGAAATGTACAAATTAGAATTATAATGAATTAGCCAAAGTACGTTCGATTTGCACATGGATATGGAATATACGAACATCGTCTGTTTTGTAAAACACATATTTCCAATACCAGAACTGCGTATCGGATTTTGCGGGTATCAAATGAGTTTCGGGCACAAATGGAAACATGCGTCCGCGCCCCATGGCATCGCGCGTATCGCCAGCCGTCACGTTCACATTTTCGAGACAACGTCCTATTTCGATGTCCTCGTTGATGACGGTGCCTGGCAGACAGAGTTTCGGATTCGGTATGGCCTCCACGATAAAGCGTCGCAGAGCCTCACGACTGAGAACATAGCCCGCACCACCGGACATGTAGCCCTGTTTCACAAACGGCTTGAACTTGCAGCCAAAGTGTACTGGAGTTTCTGGGGAGTACGGATACAGCATGTACCGCATATTCTCCACAACGGTGTACGTGTCGTCGTCGGCCTTGAGGAACCAGTCCGCATCATTGTAGTGATGCTTATAAACATACTTGAACGCCTCCTTAACCTTGTGCCACAAATTGATGCGCCCCTCGCCCACGGGCAGCTGCACGGTGGGCAACTCATCGTCAGCGGCCGAGCTCATGAAGAGCAAAATGTTGCAACGCTTGCCCCAAGTGCGCTTCACATGGCGCGCCTTCTTCTTGTGGTTGGTGGGATTTGTCATAATCCAGCAGAGTATGCGCACTTCCCTAAACAATTTGTCAGCCAGACTACTATTGTCCTGCTTGTGCTCGTGTCTGACCAACTCGTGGGCAGACTCATCGTCATCATGTGGATCCTGCAGATCATGTGGAACCCGCAGATCATGTGGATCTTTGTCTGGGTGCCGTTTTTCCACTACGTAAGGACCGATGCGCGCTGGGGTGGCTATGTATGTGAAGACCTGCGCCAAACTATATCCCAGGACGAGGCCCACAATCAGGGATATCAGTGAGCGATTTTTTGATCGCGGTGCTGAAACATATATTAAAAAGCAAGTGACAGGCAATTGGTGCTGGTAGAGCTTTCAAATTACCTAAAAAACAATTAATGGTTTTCCTTTTCTTTTAATAACAATTTGGTTGAAGGGTAGAAAGCGTATATAAGGTACAGTACAATTTGCTTAACTGACTCCAATACTTGGCACAGACTTTTGAGGCAACTATCCTAAAAAGGCAGAGTCGAGCTATGTCTCTCCGTCCGTCCGTATGCCTTATGTGTGTAGGCTCCCTCCCCCCTCTCCCCCGCAATTAGCGATTTTTCATAACTCTCGTAATTCTTGGAATTTGGAATTTCCTAAATTTAATTAAATTAATTTGCTAATTTATATAAACAATTTGAAAAATTACAAATGATCAATCAGCAATTTCATGTGAGAAAATTGCATGAAACGCAATACGTTTGGCAAGCGCGAGAGCGGATTTACAGTTATGTTTTCTGATTCCTTGCCTTCCCATTTACATTCTCAAGAGAGCATTCTGCTTGCAGCTGCAACGCAAAGCTTAGTTTTTCTCGACCTGCTGAACGCGTCGCGTCGTTTTTGTTTGGAGTTGCCGAAAACATTAAGAAAATGTTTAATAAATAGTTTAATTATTTAACAAATTATGTAAAGTCAAATGTACGTATTAAATTTTGTGTAAAGTGTGCAAAATATGTGTCTATTAATGCCAAAATGCTGCGCGTTTAATGTGCTGCGTACATACATATTTACATATGTGTGTGTTCTTAATTCCAATTGCACAGTGCCTCAATTTTTGTGTTTATTTTTTCCCCTGGGTCCTTTAATAAATTTAATTTAATAAATTAATTTGTTAATTTATATAAACAATTTGAAAAATTACAAATGATCAATCAGCAACTTCATGTGAGAAAATTGCATAAAACGCAATACGTTTGGCAAGCGCGAGAGCGAATTTACAGTTATTATTTTTGATTCCTTGCCTTCCCATTTACATTCTCAAGAGAGCATTCTGCTTTCAGCTGCAACGCAAGGCTTAGTTTTTCTCGACCTGTTGAACGCGTCGCGTCGTTTTTATTTGGAGTTGCCGGCAACGCAAAGAAAATGTTTAATTAAATGTTTAAATATTAGACAAATTATGTAAAGTCATATGTATCATATATGTATGTTTATTAAATTGTGTGTGAAGTGTGCAAAATATGTGTTTATTAATGCGAAAATGCCGCGCGAGTAATGTGCTGCGTACATACATACATACTTATGTGTGTGTAAAATGCGCAGAGCCTCCTTTTTTGTTTTTATTTTTTTAAGTGTTTGTAAATGTGATTTAAATAAGTAAATGTGTGCAATTTGAAAATAATGTATAATTAAAGCGATCGCAATTAATCTGTATGTAAATGTAAGTACGCAACGCTTTTTATTCATGTTTCTTTTTTTTAATGTATGTATGTATGTATCACATAACATAACAGATGCACAAAAAAAAAGAAAAAACTCAATTTGCAGAACTTGCCGAATGTGTTGTATAACAGTATAACAGATTGCTAACTTGCCTACCTTTGTGTGTTGAGTGTGTTGTATTAAGACACCAACCAGTTGTGGGTGGGGGCGTGGGTGGTCGAGCGCCCCAACTTGTCGCAAAGGACCAAGAGAGCGCAGTTAGATCAATCAGAAAAACAAGAGAGCGTACGAATTCTCTTAAAAAATTTAACGCAAAGAATTAAGCAAGGAAGACACAATTATACTTAATAAATAATTAGCAAGTCGAGACGATTCCTTTGGCCGGTTGTTGCACAATTAAAGAAATTACGATTAATAGTTATAGTCATAAATGCAATATCTGCCTTATTTATTTCATTTTTTTTTTTACTCTGTACATGAAATGTACAATGTAACAGGCAGAAGGAGGCGTGGCAGACCCCACAAAGTATATATATTCTTGATCAGCATGACAAGACGTGTCCATATAGCCCTGCCTGTCTGTCCATCCTAGCTAGAGACACCAAATTTTGCACGAAGATGTCTTATGTGTGTAGGCTGTTCAAGTTTGTTTTATTTTTTATGATTTTTCCCCCACTCCCCTGGTAATGGGAGTTTTCCGTAACGCCGTTCGTATAATCAGCTATATCTCAGAGACTGTAGGGACACCAAATATGATTCCAAGATAATTTGTCACTCAAAACTAAAACTAAAGCTGTTGTTTCACCAATGCAAATATTTATTCATTTTACACCATTAAAATGAATAAATCAACTGAGTTGAATAGGAAAATTTGTTAGAATAGAAATCTATGTGTGCTGACAACATTGGCGGACTCCGAACAAATATGTATATGAGCTGGCCAATTTATTTTCGAATTAAAAGACAAATAGTTATATATATGTATATGCAGCATTCAATTATTTACTTATTTACTTTTTCAAAGGGATAATAACGGAAACATAATTGGATTGTATATGTGTATATGTACTTATATGCAGTTTTCAGGTATATACTTTTTCGAAGCGATAATAACGGAGGCACAATTGGATATATAGGAGTGTATACCTTCGGCTAGGATTGACCGACCTAGCAATGTGCTAGAAGTATTCAGCTTAGTGGAACCCATTCTGGGGCTGTTTAAGTAGTTAATATTTGTCTATTTGTTCACTTGTATAAATAAAAGAGCGTTTATTATTATCACTTGGGTATTTATAGCACTGATGTGTGCACATACAATATTTTTAATAATTTATTTCCGCTCTTAAGTGTTGCGATGCACTGCCAAGAACTGCTTCTTTCAAACTAAGTCATAAACTTATATCGGGTGTTACTTTAATAGAAGGCTCTTATCCACATAGTAGTTGCTTGGCATATATTCGAAAAGGCACCAACTGTGCAAACACAGTTTATACAAAACTTTGTACAAGAGCATTTACATGGGATTGATGAGCGTTCATAGAAATGTATTTCTATGGATCTCTTGTCGACTACTGCTGAATAATTTCATATTGCTCGACATATTTATATTACTTTTTCTTTATTGAATTGAATGAAATTGAATGAAAACTAATCAAATTAAATTTAAAGATATTAGTTTAATTTCCGGTTAAAGTTTGTTTCTTCTTTTACGAAATCAATTGCCTTTATCAGTGACGAAATAGTTAGAGCGTCTAGATCCCAAAAGCCCTTCCAATTAAAACCACTTTTTCAGTTTCGAACTAATCGCTGAACAGACAAGACGTGCCAACGGAGTCAGTTTGCGCTTTTGCTTAGAGATTATCCACAAAACAACATCAAAGAAACCAAGTTACGCGTTCTATAAATTTAAAAATAAAGCATAAATTCGAATTACGCGAAATCAATGGAACATTAGCATTTAAAATGAGGGAACCAAACCCCCCCTAATGGAATAATACTTAAAAACCAACAATTGGCCGTCGATAACTCATTAAAAAACCAAACAAATGCATCACCTAATAAAATAAAAGATAGTGTGTGCAGTGGCACAGTTCTATAAATAATATTAATCAAAGCCTTATCTAACTAGCCACTAAGCCAGTTGACTGCCCGCAACCATATGATAAACGTAAACATCATCAAACAGAGTATATTGAAATACATCTAATGAGAGACACATATAGATATATATTCTAATGATTTACAAGAACTACCAGATTCTAAATGAACCTAAATAACAAAGCTTCAATGACTGTTAAGAAATGGTTTAGAAATAAAACTAGCTCAATGAGCTAGCAGGAATCCCATAATGTTAGATCGTTTCCGAATAAAAACTCGCTTGGAATCTGTAAGAGCGGTTACCTAAATAAAAAATAAATAAACAAAAAAAGACAAATTTAGCGATTCTTTTATGAAAAGCGGCATAGTTATACTTACATTAGAACTTCACTCCGACATCGTAATTGGTTAGCAACAACTACCAGTTCTTTCGTACATACCACAATCGCACTTTCGATCTCTTTATAACTGATGATGTCCTGGCCCTATCCATCCCGATTAATCATAAATTTTGCAGCAATTGCCAAAAAGTAGAAAAAGAAAAGATCAGAAAACATTTACAACAAACGCTATATCAACATTATCCACTGAATTGCATCGATGATATACAATTTTCCAACAACAACAGCCCATGAGCTCTCCGGTAAACAATCCCATACTCTGATATCTTTAACTTACCAGCCATGGAGGTCCCACCCCTCAACGTAGAAAAGCAAAAGTCAGGTGCCCCGACTTTGAAATACTCTGCAACTATAAACTGAATCTAAAAACAAAATTTCAATATTTTAAAAAATGAATGAATAAATATAATTTTGTATTTCTGGTTATTATTGTCTCTAAAACCTAGGTGTTCATAAGAACGGAGAAATGTATGCTTTGTGGGAACTGTCATGTCTCCTTTTGACTGTTACTTTTTTGTACTCTGTAGAAAACTAATATACTCTTGTACCATTCAAGTAAAGAGTATAAAAAGATGACAGCATTGAATGCCTTTATAAACTCGTATACCCTATAGTTCTTGGACTACAAAAAGGAGACAAATTGTCTCATAGCCAACTAATATCGTTTTATATAAATCAGGTAAACCCCATGCCTAGTTATCTAGTTAGTTTAATATGGATACTGGCAATGTAATAGATTAGCCTAGATTATAGAACATTGGATTACCTTGCAAAAAATTGGTTCATTATAAATAATCGATATACCATGTTCTGGGCTCAAAAGCTTAACATTTACATTTTTTTAAATTATAATAATAAAACTTAATAGCTTGGGGTTTGTTTAATAAAGATTTATGGAACTTAAAATATAACACAGGTCTGCAAAATTGGAAACATACGACTATGCTTGTCGTTTCCCGGACGTAGGAGAACCTCTGTGGAAAATGTGTGGAACGATTCGTCTCGTCACGCCCATCAAGAATGAACGTACAAGTATATACTTGGTGGATCAGCCCAGAAAACTGAAAGATACCTAAACCTTTGGGAATTGCAAACAGGTTATAATAATAATGTGAATAATAGAAATAAGTTGGTGCTTGGTGCTAATTCTAAATCATTTAGCGGGTTCAAAATTGTGTGTATGGACTTGTTTAAGTTAAAGCAATTCTTTAACTTATTTCGAACAAATTTATTTTCACTGTGTTTTTTTTGTAACATATACGAATAAAGAAGAAAGTATTATATACTAATTATTAATCTTGATTCGTAATTTTACTATGAAAATGTGATTTCGGAGGCAATTTCTCGACACCATATGCTCGCAAACTATAAACAAAATATTCCAAAATATTCTAACAAATTTATTTTCACTGTTTTTTTTTCTTGTAACATATACGGATAAAGAAGAAAGTATTATTTACTAATCATATTTAATGTTTAATCGTAATTTTATTATGAAAATGTGATTTCGGAGGCAATTTCTCGACACCATATGCTCGCAAACTATAAACAAAATATTCCAAAATATTCTAACAAATTTATTTTCACTGTTTTTTTTTGTAACATATACGGATAAAGAAGAAAGTATTATTTACTAATCATATTTAATGTTTAATCGTAATTTTATTATGAAAATGTGATTTCGGAAGCAATTTCTCGACACCATATGCTCGCAAACTATAAACAAAATATTCCAAAATATTCTAACAAATTTATTTTCACTGTTTTTTTTTTTTTGTAACATATACGGATAAAGAAGAAAGTATTATATACTAATTATTAATCTTGATTCGTAATTTTACTATGAAAATGTGATTTCGGAAGCAATTTCTCGACTCCATTGCTCGCAAACTATAAACAAAATATTCCAAAATATTCTAATAAATTTATTTTCACTGGGTTTTTTGTAACATATACGAATAAAGAAGAAAGTATTATATACTAATTATTAATCTTGATTCGTAATTTTACTATGAAAATGTGATTTCGGAAGCAATTTCTCGACACCATATGCTCGCAAACTATAAACAAAATATTCCAAAATATTCGAACAAATTTATTTTCACTGTGTTTTTTTTGTAACATATACGAATAAAGAAGAAAGTATTATATACTAATTATTAATCTTGATTCGTAATTTTACTATGAAAATGTGATTTCGGAAGCAATTTCTCGACTCCATTGCTCGCAAACTATAAACAAAATATTCCAAAATATTCTAATAAATTTATTTTCACTGGGTTTTTTGTAACATATACGAATAAAGAAGAAAGTATTATATACTAATTATTAATCTTGATTCGTAATTTTACTATGAAAATGTGATTTCGGAAGCAATTTCTCGACACCATATGCTCGCAAACTATAAACAAAATATTCCAAAATATTCTAACAAATTTATTTTCACTGTTTTTTTTTTTTTTTGTAACATATACGGATAAAGAAGAAAGTATTATTTACTAATCATATTTAATGTTTAATCGTAATTTTATTATGAAAATGTGATTTCGGAAGCAATTTTTCGACACCATATGCTCGCAAACTATAAACAAAATATTCCAAAATATTCTAACAAATTTATTTTCACTGTTTTTTTTTTTTTTTTGTAACATATACGGATAAAGAAGAAAGTATTATTTACTAATCATATTTAATGTTTAATCGTAATTTTATTATGAAAATGTGATTTCGGAGGCAATTTCTCGACACCATATGCTCGCAAACTATAAACAAAATATTCCATTAAGCGCATGTGAGAAATATGCTCGTTACGAAATAATATTGTCGAGTTCGACACTGTGAAACCATCCTAGAATATTGCGAAAGAATTAACTTGAAATAAGGAATATTTCATTCATATATTTTGATACATACCATGAATTTTTTTTTTAAATCGCTTGCACTAATTTCCCGATCGATTAGCAACATGCGATCAAATCCATTTGAGTCTCGTGTATCTCCTTGCTGAACACCCACATTGGATAAACAAATATATATTGCCATTGCCTCTGGAGCGTTGGGGTTTTTTGTGCATAGGTTTCGACTAGGCATACCTATTTCTACAAAGCGACGTAAAGCCTCACGACTTAGGACATAGCTTACTGGTGTATCGCGCGAGGTGACATTTGCCGATTTGGATATAAAGGAAATGGGTGATTCCGGGGCGTAGGGGTGCAGCATATGGCGCAGATTCTCCATTACCGCATACGTGTTATCATCGACCTTTAAGAACCAATCTGCATCGTTCTTATAGTTTTCGTAAATGTATTTAAATGCCGTTCGAGCTTCCTTCCATGAATAACCCTCTGAGGTGGTGACATTCGCTTTAATTCTTTCACCAATTTCTTCAGAAGCCGAGCTTCGAAATATTAGAGTATTACAACGTTTTTCCCATGTGAGGCGCAGTGGTCCCGCCCTCTTCGTAGTCGATATTGAACTTTTCATAATGAAACAGAGTATACGCGTTCTTCTATATACTTCTATTCTGCCAGATAGTTCTTTAGGCGTTTTACGCATTTGTGCTATGGAGGGACACAATTGCTTATTGTTAACGAAAACTGTTTGGCAAACTGAAATCTGGGATATAATCAAACCAATTGTTATGCCCAGAAGTAGGATCATAGTTGACCTCAACATTGTCGATTTAACTGGATCTATATTCATCTTCTATTTTGTATATGTATATATTTGTATTTCGTTTCACCAAACACTATATACTACTATATACTACAAGCTTGTGACGCTTCAAGCCACATTCATCGACCACCACGGAAATCGCAATTAAAGCTTGACAACTGTCGAAGAAAAATATATACCGGCATGTAAATTATCATCCGAATATATGATACTCTTCCAGTAGTATATGATATTATATATATTCTAACATATACGCATTTATTCATACTAACAAATTCCATTATGTCTATATAGTTGCTTCCATCATATTCGAAAACCATATGTGTATATTTTTTTTGGTTTGTTCTGTCAACTATTCCGTACTTATTTCACGTCCATGGATATTCAAAATCCAAAATAGATAGAATATTTTCAAATTTTGACATTTTTGGATCCGATTTATTGTCTTGAATACTTTTATTTTTGCCGTAAGTTGGAAAGTTTCGATAGCTTATTATTGTTATGTTATTTGAAGGAGATCACGGAAAGGTGAACATGGAAGGTGATCATGAAAGGTTGATCATGGATAGGCATTTCAGATAAGTAAACACAATCCTCACTAGCATGTATTTAGTACTACATACATGTATATTATCGAATGTTACAAAAACTAAAAATTTGCAAATTGTTTCTTAGAAACGTATTTAGGTTTCGATGGTTTAGTTTTCATCTTCTGGAACCTTTTTTGGCAGCTCAATGGGGGGTATTCGTACCTCCATATAATTGGAAATGATAAACCAGATAGTCCAAATGATACATTAGACTTTCATTTAAGTAGTGATAAGATATGGCTTTACTTGAACAACAAATCTGGTTCTGCAAGAAAACATTTGTTTAATTCATGGAGGAAAAACTATGAATAAAGGTGTTTGAAGTTTACACCTACCTTTTGTTTCTTGTAAAATATATCGTTCAGAAGCCAATAATCGTCCAAATTGTCCCTTAATAAATATGAAGGAGGAAATGCATTGAAGCGTTCAAGCCCTTTTTCATCACGGGATTCCCCAGCCACAACGTGCACATTTTGCAGACAGGTTCCCATTTCCACATCTTCGAAGAGACCTGTTTCATTGCACCTACTGGGATAAGGGAAAGCTTCTTCTACCAAGCGTCGTAAAGCTTCACGACTAAGGACATAACCAGCGCCTCCAGACATATACGTATAATTCTTATGAGGCAAGTTGCTATTAAACCTCATGCCAAAATAAAGAGGCTTCTCTGGCGAATAAGGATGGAGCAAGTATCGCAAATTCTCAACAATCATATAAGTGTCATCGTCAGCTTTCACAAACCAGTCCGCATCCTTAATGTGATGCTCGTACACATATTTGAATGATTCCTTAACTTTTTTGAATAGATTGTGTCTCCCTTCATCCACAGGCAACTTGACCGTAGGTAGTTCTTTATCCGACACTGAGCTCATGAATAGTAGAATGTTGCAGCGCTTTCCCCAAGTGCGTTTAACATGTATCGCCTTATTGTCATCGGGGCTAGCCAAAACGAAGCAAAGTATTCTAACTTCTTGTTTGGGATCTGCTGAGATACTTGAGTTATGCACGATCTCGTCCTGCTCATATATCAAAAGCCTGACGAGTAGATGGGTCATTATGAATCCCAAAGTAATTCCAAGAATTAATAAATACGCGACACGGAGCATTGTCTGCTTTTCTAAACGTTTTTTCTAAACTAACCGACAAGCTCTGTATTTGCATTTATGGAAAATTGTTCGGTTCAACAAAATTCGTCTCGCCTTTTAAATGTTCGAGTATACCCTTCACAGGAAGTTGCTGTGTGTTATTAAGTGTTGTTAAGTTATTGAAAATATAGGCTTTATAAAACGATCCTCATTTTTTTGCGCTACAAAAACGGACAAAGTTAATAAAGAAATTTCTTTTAATTGCACAACAGTGGACTATGTATGCCAATTCCTCTGCTATACAAAAACGGTTCTATATATCCATCTTCGGCGAACTTCTACTCCGCCTTATACCCTAGCACCTTTTTTGGGCCTGAGTACATCCAGAATAAGAGCGCTTCTGCCGTTTTGACAGCCACTGGCTTCCCCATCAACTCCAATAGGCACAGAGCATAAGTGAAATAAAACAAATTTCCCTTTTTATCGGACATTCACCGCAAAAGCTTCCTTTTATTATAAATTTATTGTTTTTTTCCCAAGCTAAGTAGAGACAATTTTCCTTAGCATATACTCAGATGTAAATATTAATGTTACAAAAACAGCAAATATTCTGTATAGTGTTCATAGATGATGATATAGATTTATCTGCAGCTTAATGGGGGAATTTGTATCTCGATATAGTTGGAAACGATAAATGAGATAGTCAAAAAGATACATTTGACCCGAAGTTATATAATGAAAAGATATGGCGTTACTTGAACAACAAAGATCGCTCTGTAAGAAAACAGTTGTTTACTTTATGGAAAAAAAATATATTAATAAAAGATTTTGAAGTACCTTTTTTTTCTTGTAATATATTCTATACATAATCCAATGAGAAAACATTTTGTCACTATGTAAACCTCTAGGGTTATGTCCATTGAAGCGCTCAAGTCCTTTCTCATCACGGGAGTCCCCAGACACAACGTTCACATTTTGCAGACAGATTCCCATTTCCACATCTTCATCGTAAGCTTGTTTCTTGCACTTACTGGGATAAGGGAATGCTTTTTTTACCAAACGTCGTACAGCTTCACGACTAAGGACATAACCAGCGCCTCCAGACATATACGTATAGTTCTTAGATCCATGCATGCTCCTAATTCTCATTCCAAAATAAAGAGGCTTCTCTGGCGAATAAGGATGGAGCAAGTATCGCAAATTCTCAACAATCATATAAGTGTCATCGTCAGCTTTCACAAACCAGTCCGCATCATTTATGTGATGCTCGTACACATATTTGAATGATTCCCTAACTTTTTTGAACAGATTGTGTCTCCCTTCACCCACAGGCAACTTGACCGTAGGTAGTTCTTTATTCGACACTGAGCTCATGAATAGTAGAATGTCGCAGCGCTTTCCCCAAGTGCGTTTGACATGTGTCGCCATATTGCTCCTGGAGTAAGCCAAAACGAAGCAAAGTATTCTTACATCTTTCTTAGGAACTGCTGCGATTTTTGTTGTGTTCTGGGGTTCCTGTTCATCTTTCAATAATCTGACGAATAGATGGCTCATTAGGAATCCCAAACAAATGCCAAGAATAAATAAACACCCGTTGCGGAGCATTGTCTGCTTTTTTAAACGTTCTTTCTAAACTAACCGACAAGCTCTGGGTTTCTATTTATGGGAAATTGTACGGTTGCAGAATATTCGTCACGCCTTTTAAATGTTCGAATATACCCCCCGGAGAAAGCTGTCTATTACAATATGCAAATAAAACTACTTTCCTCTTTTTTTCTGGCCATTCACTGTAAGTCATTCTGCAGACAATAATGGAATCGAATGGAAGCTAATTTTGAATAATAATTATTTAGAAATAGTAATGTAAAGAGTATTTATTCCACCTTTATGCTTTAGCGTGCAGAATTCAATAAATGCATCAAAAACATCTTTGTTGCTTGAAGGTACAAATCGAAACTAATTATGATTGAAAGAAGCAAAGGCCCCCTCCCCTGTACTATTTCGCCTTAAAATAGAACTGAGTTGGATTTGTTAAAATTTTTCTATGGATCATATGCATAAGTTATGATTTATTTAATTTAAATTAAAATTTGTTGGCCCCCCTTTGGAAAAAGGTGCCTACGCCCTTGCAAAAAACCTATGGAAAACTTTCTAACAGCGGACAAGAGACGGCATACACCAAGTATAAAAACAAACTAACAAAGCCGCCCTTTCTCGTTCCTAGATAAACATGGATATCTTGTTAGATTGGCCTATAGTCTAGCTTTCCCACATATTATGGAAAATAATAAATGTTATTTGCTATATTCTTAGCAAATAGTTAACAAAACCTTTTAATCTCTATTCCACTTTGTTTTTTACGCGTTTTCGCATTTTAAGAAAATAAGAAGCATACTTTTTGGGATTTTCTTATTGCATGGCAGCTAAAATAAGCAGTGTTACCAAACAGCTTTGAACTGCTTTAATTTGAAATGTGCTTCTAACGGTTTACTTTTACGATCATTTATATTCATGGACTACTGCTTTGCACTGCGTAAACGGTTTATTTTACGATCTTCCGCTTGTTATATAAGACTAAACTCCTAGTTTAAGCTGTATTTGTATTTTGGTGTAAGTTTAATTGAAGTTATTGTAAATAATAACAGTATAATTAAAGCTTTACATTTAAAAAAAAAAAACATTTTAAAAAATGTTAATAAAATACACGGTTCACGATCTTCGGCTTGTTAGCCAAAAGCTTGCCTACAACCATAATTAGCATTCTTTTCATGTCTACGAGAAATACACTTAAGCCAAGCCTTATGATTTATTCTTAGAGCTCTACGTGGTTTCTTCAAAGTGCTATGTATGTAACAAACATATGGAGATTATAATGTTTTTTAACTGCCTCAAAAAAGAGATTGCTTCTAAGTCATTTCTTTATTAAAACAATTTTTATTTGATGTTTATTGGTTGCCGTATTAAATACATTATGGTTTAACAAAAGAGATTATTATACATAATACATCTATAGAAACATACATTAATACATAAGGAGTATATATTGTACTTGCATTTTACATATATATGTATGTATGTTTGTATTAAAAAGTTGTTTAGAGATACAAAAAATGTAGTTGGATAATTTCTTACAGCCCTATCTAAGTAGAGAATTTAAAGCTACTTGCTTGCATTATTATTGAAATCTATTTGGTTGCCTAATTATATAAATTATAACGAAATGAACTTATTGGCTAAAAATATGTCATCGTTTGTACAAAATGGTTTGCGTTTGAAGTAACGCACTAAACATTGGCATATATAGCATATATGGCAAGGTTCATACAGCTAGTATAGTAGATGTATAAAGTAACATACGAGTACATAGAAATAGATGGGGGCATGTACTTAGATATATTTATATTATATATACATATACACAAAACGCTATATACAAATATTTATGGCTTATGACTGTGGCGCATTGGCAATTGCCGCTTTGGTTTCAGCCTCACTCGCCGTTTCCGTCCGCTCCTTGGGCGTTGGCAGAAGTTCGCCAACATGCAGCTTGTTTGGCAGGGCATCGGGTGTATTTATTATGCCATAGGGTCGCAGATGATATATCAAATAGTCCAGAACATACATTTGATTTGGGGATACATAGTGAAACGATATGGCATTATCTGAGCAGCAATCGAGACCCTTTAGAAAAAAAAAAAAAACAGGATAATGTTAATCGCTTAGATGAAAAAGAATTTTAAAGAGTTGTGATCTTTCAAAGCATGTGAATGGGATATACAACAGAGATTCCTCCACTTCGAATAGATCTGATAGCTCTTCAAAAATGTTACCTCGTCCGTTTTGTAGAAAATATACTGCCAATACCAGAACTTCTTATCCGTATGCGATGGTATCAAATGGTGTTCTGGCACAAAGGGGAAGAATCGTCCGCGTCCACTGGCATCGCGCGAATCGCCAGCCACCACTTTCACATTCTCCAGGCACTTGCCTATCTCAACATCTTCGGCACCTGAGTTGTCCGCCTTGCATAGCTTTGGATTGGGTAGGGCTTCGACCACGAAGCGTCGTACAGCCTCACGACTGAGTACATAGCCAGCCCCTCCGGACATATATCCCTGCTTCACGAATGGCTTGAATTTGCATCCAAAATATACGGGCGTATCGGGGGAATAGGGATAGAGCATGTAGCGTAGATTCTCCACAACTGTGTAAGTGTCATCGTCAGCCTTTAGAAACCAGTCTGCATCGTTGATGTGATGCTGATAAATATACTTGTAGGCCTCCTTCGTCTTCCCCCACAAATTGTTGCGTCCCTCGCCAATGGGCAGGGCTACAGCATCAAGTTCCGCATCGGCGGCGGAGCTCATAAAAATGAGCTTATTACAACGCTTTCCCCATGTCCTCTTCACGTGACGCGCCTTCTTCTGATGATTTTGCGGATTGGTCATGATCCAGCATAGCACCTTAACCTCATTGTACAGCCGCTCTGCAATGCTGGAGTTCTCGTGGACATGTTCGTGCGTGCCCACATCCTGTTCAGGTCCGGCCAGCTCCATCAGATCGTGACTGTGATGGGCATCGTTCACGTCGCCATGCCGATGGCCATCATATGGCAAAAACTCGCTACGTTCCGGCGTGGACGAATAGACGAAGAGCTCGGCCAAGCAAAATCCGACAACAAGACCAACAATCAGAGACACGAATGAGCGTTTATTGGAACGTCCTGCAAATTCAAAATAGAAAGTGAAATAAATAAGCATTTTATGTAAACACCAGGAGAAGAAATCCGGCGAGGGATTACAATTAATATTCACCTAAAATTTTTAATTTTTCAATTCATATTTTTCCATAAAACACGCATTACTTTCTTTGAGTGGCAGAAGAGGAATCATCTTACATTCACAATTCGCATTTGATTAGAGCAGAGGTTGCCGATTTACAGGCGTTTTTCAAAACTGTTTTCAATTAAATTTTCAAACTCAATCTTGCTGACTGTTTTTTATGTAGAAATTTGCAAAGTTTTTAAAACAGATTGTTATTAAAATTGATAAATAATTTAAAACTTAAATACCAATACGCGTACATTACTGAAATATTTGAATTCGTGAGCTTGCAAATGCTTAAACACTTGAGAAAAGTATTGTTTTTCTCTCACTTTTTCAAATTGAAAAATTATTTTAATTGAAAACTTAATACCAATTATCGTTTACTTTGGAAATTTCGGGAATTGCTTTTATAATTCAGCAAAATATTTCCTCTAAATAAGGGCTATTTTTCTCTAACTTGTTTCTTGACCTTCGATAAGTTTTGTTATTCAAATTGAAAAATAATTTAAATTAAAAAATAATTGAAAACTTAAATACCAACTGTCGTATACTGTCGAAATTTCGGGAATTCGGGAGCTTATAATTGCTTTAAGAATTCAGAAAAATATTTCCTCTAAATAAGGCCTATTTTTCTCTAACTTGTTTCTTGAACTCAACAAATTGAAAAATGATTTTAATTGAAAAATAATTGAAAACTAAAATACCAATTCTTGTATGCTCTCGAAATTTCGGGAATCGCTTTAATAGTTCAGCAATATATTTCCTCTAAATAAGGCCTATTTTACTCTAATTTTTTTCTTCAACTCACCTTCGATTAGTGTTGTTATTCAAATTGAAAAATAATTTAAATTGAAAAATAATTGAAAACTTAAATACCAGTTCTCGAAAATGCGGGAATTAATTCTTTTTCTCCCAGTTTTTTCTTTAACTCACTCACTAATCCAAATTAGTGTTGTTATTCAAATTGAAAAATGATTTTAATTGAAAATAATTGAAAACCTAAACACCGATTCCCGTATACTCTCGAAATTTCGGGAATTGCTTTAATAGTTCAGCAAAATATTTCCTCTAAAAAGGGCCTATTTTTCTCTGACTTTTTTCTTGAACTCACCTTCGATTAGTGTTGTGCGTCCCAGCAAGCCGTTGGCAGTCATTTGGCTTTAGTAGTGTGTGTTGCAGTGTGCACGAGGATCGGTGTGAGTTGGGACTAGGAATATGCGAGTATGCCTAGATTTGAGCGCGACATAAATTTTCTTTGGTCTTTGGTTGCGTTGCGTCTTGGCCTATAGCTTGTCCCCTCTTTGGTTTGGCTTTTACATTTTCTGCAAAGAAATACAACGACGATAGCACCAACGTGAATACTAAATACTAAGTAAGTATACTATGTTGTATGTGCAATCGGCACGCAGAATGCAGCAACTGGCATCTGAACCCAGCTGCCGTTCAATTACAAGTGTCAATTTATTTTTATGCACTGGGGTGCACGTTATACACTGCCTTCAATTTTCTAGAATTGTGTTAATAATATGCTAAAACGTGACAATTGCGCCATTTCATTGCTCTGCCACTAAGCTCTATTCCATCATGCGGACCGAACTCACTAAGATGCGTTGGTTATATAACTTTTTGCATTCGAGCATCGCATGCCGACTACGTGCGTTTTTATTCGATAAACAATGTCAAATGCCAAACAAGTGTAAATTAAGTTTATGCTTAATCTTGCTCTTCTAAATATCTAGGTGTGTACGTGTGGGCGTGTATATATGTGTGTGTGTATGTATGTATGAGTGTATGTATGTAGCACAGCCTTTAAGCGGCTACCTTTGTGCATCTTTCAATGATGAATGTGAATGTCATTTCACTGAATTTTTTCAAGTACATATCTTTTTTTATATACAAGTATTTTATAATTTACTGAAAACAGTGAAAACTCTCTTATCCCGACACTCACGTTCGTCCAATTTTTGTCCGCCCAAGCGAGTGGTGTCCGCTTAGTGGTGTCCGCTTAAATACTTTAGACACCGATCGAATGTTTTAGAAAAAGTGTCCGCCGAAAAGAGGTGTTCATTAAGGGAGTTTTCACTGTACATTTCGCTTTCAAAACCAAGCAATGGGAAGTTAAAATCGCTCAGCTTTTCCATACCACAAACCCGCCCAACTCCCTCGCTCTTTTTCTGCCAGAATCCTTCAAATAAAATGCACTTTGTTGCACAAAACATTCATGGAGCAGCTACATACTTTAATGAAGAAGTGAAACAATATTAAATTGAAATCATTTGTATACATAATTTCTTGAGTACAAAGAAGGCAGCTATATAGAAGAAGTGAAGTATATATTAAACCTGGTCTGTATATGGATAAGATAAGACAAGTCTCATCATCAAGTTTGTTGCCCCTAGCTGTTATGGGTTGAAAAGGCTGTACATATTACTCATAAATTAGAACAGAACGGAATAATAAGCATTCATCTTCAATATCTTGCAATAGGGTCATGATGGAACAGTTGAACTCATACAGACAGGAAAAATCATTAATGTAGGGATTAGTTCTTCTACACATGCTCGCTCAAGTCTTTTCCATTAAATATAGAGATAGCCAAGCATTCATAAAATCCTCAAATGCCTTTTCATCGAATTCGATTTCAGTGCAGAACTGTCTCAGATATCTTCACGAGATGGCAGCTCAGTTCTCTGTTTTCCTCATAGGGATCCCAGGTAATAGGGACAAAGCTGACAAACTAGGAAGACAAGGCACCATTGCCCTTCTTCCTTCGAACAAGGAAAGCATCTGTATGTGGATAATCAGCTGTAAACTATTAGTTCGGAACCACCATCCTGCAGAAGCAGAAGCCACTGATTTGCCGCGATCAGGCCTATAATGGCTGTCCAAGAAGAAGAACGTAGGCCGAAATGTGTCAAGAATAAACCCCTAGGTAGCTTTTTCTCACACCTAAAAATGTTCGTATTTCGACCAACAAGTAGAAATTGTTACCATAACAATGTTTTCACTGCTGTTTTAAGATTTCTTCTTTCTATAATTAATTTTTAATTTGTAGGATTATTTCTAATCTTCAACGTTTGACAACTCCTACTTTTCGCTAATTTTAGGAGATACTATTTTAGAGATACTATTATAAGAAGTATTAAGAATTTACAAAATCAACAAGTAAAGGCAACGATATTTTAAAATATATTACTACTTAGGAGATATTCCAGTCCACAAAGAATGTTCAAATGCAGTCAAAAAGTTTGTTAGCAATAGAAAGGAGCCTGTTGCTGTCGCAGATCGGAATGTATCTCCATTTGTTATATACCACACACATATTGTAATCTCATAAATGAAATAATTAATCGTCAAGTTTAATTAACAAATTTAATGATTGTCCCCGATGGACAGTATTAAATAAAAACACTCTGCTAATACAAAAAAAAAATAAATATATATATATATATATTATAATGTGTGTATGCTTACATCTGCAGAACAAGCCAAGAAAATCTTGCGTAATGGTGCTATATATTGCTTTATTCAGATAATATTGAATGCTTTTAAACAAACTTCAAACTTATCTATGATTGGTAAGCGCCATCAATATCGAGATAGAGTCTAACACAAGGTTTCATTTAAAAAAAATGTACAAACTTTAATACGAAAAGATTGCTAGGAGCAGCTTAAACAATTTAGAAAAATGCTCCTGAAATCCAGTAACTTCCATAATGGACATGTCGTTTGTTTTTTTTTTGATATTTTGAGTTTTAATTCCCAAATTTCAATTTTGAAAACGATTTCTTTTTAAACAATTAGTAGCAAATCATGTCGAAACGTCATCAAAACCAAATTGTTGCAAGATTAAAAAACCTACTTAGAATTACTTTCTTCATCGTGGCTTATAATTTTATTACTTTTAACACTGTTTGGTTTTAATAATTCACCTCACTTTTAATTTTTTCTTTGTGTATTCATGTGTATAGCTTTTTATATCACAAGCACTTGTTGATTTTTTTGCTAAAATGTATTTTAAATGTATTTCAAGTGTTTTGTTTTCAGAAGCACTATTTATTTATATTCTTATTGATTCGACGCCGTTAAACGTCTTACACGTTGCGCTCACAAACTGCAAATGAAGGGACCGCCCTTATAAACAGACGATTTTAGGGAATTTAGTGAGTGGATTTATGATCATTGGACGATGAGGCAGCTAATGGAAAACCCAAATGGAAATGAACAATTTTCAGCGTTTGTGCTATCAGCCAAGCATTGCTTATTGTCTTTGGGGCAGGTTCATTGACTAAGCGATAATACATTTTATCAGAAGAGTGGACGAAACAAAGAACACATGTTTCCAAATGCATTCACTTGCAACTTGTACTATAAACGAGTATATATTCGTTTATCTTCCACAGAACTGGCACTTTTCAAATTGGAAAACATGTTGTTGGAGAGATAGCCTGAGTTCAGAATGCTTTGCAAAATATTTACAAATTCCTTAATAATGCCACACACTTATATATTTCTGACTATTTATAAAGCATAGTTGAAAGTCTCGGTAACCTAATTGAAGGTGTTATCAAGAGAATCGACTTTTTCATTATTCCCATTTCCTTATCGTGAACCAGAGCGATCGGTTGTGAAAACCCTCGCAGACAGAAATGGCAATGTATGAAATTAATAATGCTTATATCTTAGCACTATCTACGAGTACTTATAAAATGGTTTACTGATATGCTTATCTTGAAGCTATATATTCATGTGTCGTGTTATTGTTGGCACAAAATCGTAACCATTTCTCATGCACATTGTTTTCAAAGAAGACTATCTGGCAGCCATAATTATTTAAAAGAAACTATGTCTCGAATCAGAGATAAGTTCCCAGTAATTAACAGGCGAGTTTCCATCGAAACTGTAAGTGAATTTATCAGAGTTCAGCCAAAGCCGCGACACAACAAAAGAGCTGTGTAAGAAGGAGCTGTTTTGAAGGCTACAAGTAGAAGACATTCAAGGAAGTACGAGGCATTCCTGTCCGGCATTTAAAAAAAAGGCTTACACTGGAATGAGCGCGCTATTTTCCAAATTCCAAGTTTAGTTTATCTCTCGAATTCTTTTCAAAGTCAACCAATTGTAAAGGATGTTTTTGAATTTCCCTGCCATGTGCAACGTTTTTAACAGACTCCGGAAAGCAACAACAATCTATCAATAGTTTATACAACGAATACAGTAATAATTGAATTGTTGCAATTCTATTTTAGCAAATACTATCTGATAATAAACATTAACCCTTAGTATGTCTCTGATCCATATCTGCAACATACCGCTTAAACTCTATTATTTTACAATGAATGCGCGAAATTTGCAAAGTTCCATGGTATTTTAAATGTATTTGATTTTGTTACACTGAAATAAACTAGTGAATTGAAATTATGATCACTTTTGGCGCCAATTTGTGATTCGTGGTATGCAAGCAAATTAGAGGATTTATGTATTAAGTTTTTTCAATATATAAAGTACAACTAAAACTGCGATAAATGAGGGGTCGCATTAAGCCTTAATAAAATGAATAATTATTATTTTAAATGTTCATTTACAGACCTTTTTGACCCCAGAAACAACAATAATGTATTAATGAAAAACATAATTTTTCATAAAAAAAATATACAAAATCACAAAATTTCAAAAAACAAAGAAACACGTATATTTTTATTTTGCCTTTTCATTTACAGACCTTTTTTTTGAGCCCAGAAACAACAATAATGTAGAAATGAAAATAAGCGTTTATTGTAAAAAAAATAATTACTAAATTAAAAAAAAAAAAACAGAAAAAAACACTTCTGTTTTTAGTTTGCATTTTCTATCTAATGGAAAAAACCGCATTGAAATCAGACAAAACATCATACGAGGGGTTAAGATTTAATTCCGCTGACAAATTTCCATGGTCTGGCTGACACATTTTCTAGATAACTCCGAGAAATGCTGCTACGTTCAAAAATGCAATCATTGTGTGTCAAAGTCAAATGAGTTCAATTGCTTAGACAATCTCAACTGCACTTTCTGTATATATATATATATATATATATATATATATGTATGTGTGTGTGTGTGTATGTCGCCAAGCGGGCAATTATTTTGAAATCGCTGAGCACAAATGATTTTTAAACGGGGCGTACTTAAAAGTGCCGTCAATTTCAATTGTAATTGCAAATAAATGAAATTTAGAGAAAATTATTCGCCACAGCTTGGACTGTTGGTTCTCTCTCTCGCTAACTTCCGTGCGAGCTCTCAAATTGCTTTATTATTGTTACAATTTTGCCTGCAACGTAGCATTGTA